GTGGATTTTTATCCGGGTCCACCGGGTTTTCCCTCCACATTTAGAATCAACATCACATGTTTAGAGTATTTGGCTGCTAAAAATTTACACGTGATCAGCCACTTCGTTGAGCTGTCAGTTGTGGCCAGGCCGCTTCTGAAAAACAGCTCCACAGCTCAGTGGCCCAGACGATGCTCAGTGATAAAATAATCCCCGAGCAGAGGCATCCTTCTACTGCAGCGCATAAGGTCCCTGAGCAGACGAGGGAAAGTCTTTAGAGACACAGAGAGAGACGTGGAGAGAGACACGTGGAGAGAGACACGTGGAGAGAAACACGTGGAGAGAGACGCGTGGAGAGAGACACGTGGAGAGAGACACGTGGAGAGAGACACGTGGAGAGAGACACGTGGAGAGAGACACGGATCTGGAAAGATGCGCAGAGATAAACAGACTTGGATAGTCGTAGGCGTTTACAGAGACTGATGCAAATGAAGAAATACGCAGAAAGTTTCATTTATTTCAGTTTCATTTATTAGGTATAACCCTGTGAGCCATGACTCGCGTTCAACCGCAACAAAACACAAACATGAACAAGAAACATCTTAAAGTGACTACACGCAACAGAAAAATTCTGGAATAAACAGCAAAGTCTTCCAGCAAGACATGGACTGATAAGACAGGTGGGGAGTGATAGGTACGAGACATTGTAGACACGGGGAGACAGAATCACAGAAAACTATGTAGAATGACAAAGACAAAGATCCCCCGTATAGCCTTAACAGACTGTTGAGGCAAGTGTTGTTAGCGAGTACCTATGAAGACCGGCACGGCACACGAGGGGGTGGGTGGCCAGCACCACCATAGACCGCCTTTGTCTCCCCAGTGGTGATGTTCACACACCGCACCAGGTACTCATTTGAGGCTGAGTCGACCTGGGGGAGGCCCAGGACCGGTTCACATAATCGTCACTGGTGTTGGGCGTGAGCGGGAATCTAACCCAGGTTGCTGGGTTCGTCGCGCAGCATCGCGCTAACTGCTGCACCACCGCTCCCTACTATAGAATGACGGGCACACTCACAGACACATGCAGAGAGACAGACCCAGACAGAATCACATGTAATTATTTAGAACACACACAGACAGAAGCACAGCCAATTACATAATGTAAAAGGGCAGACACAGACATACACAGATAGAGAACTGTGAAGAAGACACACAAACTAAAGTATTTATATTTGACCAGGTAAGGCGCACTGAGATATACAGCTCTTTTTCGGAAGTGATCTGGCCACGAATGATAGCTCGACGAAGAGGCTTATCACGTGGGAATGTCGAGCAGTAGTCAAATAGTCTCAACGCACGCGTGTAAATGTGAAGGGAAAACCCGGAGGACACACCGAGAGACACATGCAATGAAGAGACAAGCATCATGGGGGCCATGCCAGGGAGAGTACATCCGTGGCGAGCGACCAACATCAGCACATCTGAGCTATGCATCTGGTTCCATCAAGGGCACATCAATGCTGCACCTCTGCTGAGGAGCTGAAGTTACGGCTTCGTGGGAGTGCAGATCTATGAACCTAGCACCTAAATGACATTGCACTATGATATCTGCCATCAACACTGGCATGCGGAATGTGTGTGTTGTGTGTGCGGCGTGTGTGTGTGGTGTGGGATGTGGGCTGGGTGTAATGAGTGCCTGGTGCGCTGTGTGAACATCGCTACTGGGGAGACAAAAGCGGCCGGGCGTGGTGCTGGCCACCCACGCCCTCCTGTGCCGTGCCGGTCGCTGCCATCACTTGCCCCAACAGTCTGGTAAAGGCTATACGGGGGATCTTTGTCTTGTGTGTATGTGTTCGAATGTGTCCTTGTATTTGTCTATGTATTTTTTATACTATTATTTATGAATCTGTGTATTTGGCAGTGCATCCTGCACGTGGGCGTGGTGTGTGTGATTACTAAATAATAGGTGACGTTTCAGACAATGACCCTTTTTATAGCACATTAATGGTATTATGAAGAAGGGCCATAGCCCGAAACTTCGCTTATCATTGTACATGTATACATTTTATAGATTGCAAAAATTGATCACTTCTGCCACCTGCTGGTTGAAATTACGAACAGATAGCCTGGCAATTTTTTTTTCGATAACTCGACTTTAAACCCTAGTTGTAATACAGGGTCAGACAAACATGCTCACACTTATACACACACTAACACAAACACTAACACACACTCATATACTAACACACACTAACACACACACCAACACACACTCATATACTAACACACACAGAAACAACAACCGCCATTCGCCACTAAGTGGCGGTGACGTCACCACGACGCTTGTGCCAGGCCATGTGCATCTTGAGGCCACGTGAAGTGTCGAACGCCCGCTGGCAGGAGGTCACGGGGCAGACTCAGGTGCCACGGGTCGACTGACCGAGATGACCGAGATGACTGGTTGATGCACCAGCTGTGCCCCCTACTGTGCCAACTTGCTGTGCTTTAGCCACCCGGCGCTCCGCTCGTTGTTGTGAGCGTCGCTCCTCCGCACTCCGTTGTTGTTGGAGGGCGACTGCCTCCAACTGCCCAGTAGCGTCCTTCACGAGCCTCCTCCACAGAGGTCGATCTTGACACCGCTGGTACCAGTCATCGGCAAGTCCACTCAGCTCCACGTTCTCCTGTACCGCATCACTCCATCTCTTTTCCAGCCCATGTCGTGCAAGGTTTAGCCCAGTCTGGGCTGCCAAACAAAAGCTGTTTGGGCATGCGGTGGCTGGACATGCGGGTTACATGACCCAGCCAACACAGCCTTGCCTGCCGGAGGAGCTCACTAATGGGAATGTTTCGATTTAAAGCTTTCGTGACTGCAGGGATTCATCTTCTTGGTTCTTTCGGTAAAGTCACGTAGAAGGGAAGTAATAAAATAATAAAAATAAAACATAATAAAACAATTCTCACGACGTTTCGGCCACAACGCAAGCAGCCGGCTGCTTGCGTTTCACAAGAATAGATAAGGGAGGGCATGACTGTGGCTGAAAAGACCCGAAGCTTCGTGCAGAGCGACAGACCAGGTAGCTTCCACACATCATTGTGCAGCCGATGAAAAGATAATACCGCCTGACTGATTAGGAGTGAGACCTCTGCTGCCCAGGTATGGGAAACGCTCCCCTCTCTCCACAACTGCTCTATCACCAATGGGGAATTGAGGGGGTGCAGTGTTTGGTGGCACAAAATACCCAGGCAGTTGCTTAGTTTTGGTGGGGCTGATGGTAAGACCCCAACTCTTAGTGGCACACTCCAGGTTCAGTAGCAGCGCCTCCAACTCCTCCTCTGAGTGAGCAGCAATCACTAGATCATCAACATACTTAACATGGTTGTCCAATAGGGAGCTATCCCTCGACCGCAACCAGGCATCGATCAGCCTCCCGTTATATCTGTACCAGATGGAAATTCATCCGGTACAGCCATGGAAAGCTTCTCTAACTACGTCGTCAAAGATTATGTTAAATAATATGGGAGCCAGAGGACATTCCTGTCGCACCCCAAGGTGTACAGGGAAAGGCTCTGACTCCCGGCCACGTAGTTTCACCCGGGCCCGCTCACCATCATGAAGGTCCTTAATGATCGTGAGCAGAGGGTCAGGGACTCCGAAAGCGCGAAGAACTACCCAGAGCCCAGGCCTACTGATGGTATCATAGGCCTTGACCAGGTCAATAAAGCAGAGATGTAGGTCTTCACACACACTAACATACACACTAACACACACACTAATAAAGATAAAGATCCCCCGTATAGCCTTAACAGACTAGTGGCAAGTGCTGTTAGCGAGCATCTATAAAGGCCGGAACGGCACACGAGGGGTGGGTGGCCAGCACCACGCCCGACTGCCTTTGTCTCCCAGTGGCGATGTTTACACACCGCACCAGGTACTCATATCAGGCTGAGTCGACCTAGGGGAGGCCCGGGACCCGTTCAGATAATCGTGACTGGTGTTGGACGTGAGCGGGAATCGAACCCGGGTCGCCAGGTTCATAACGCAGCGTAGCGCTAACCACTGCACTACCGCTCCCCAAACACACAGACACACGCAGACACACACACACACACAGACACACACATACACACACACACGCAGACACACACACATACAGACACACGCAGACACACACACACAGACACACACACAGACACACACACAGACACACACACTACCGCTCCCCAAACACACAGACACACACACAGACACACACACACATACACAGAGACACACACACACATACACACACACACCACCGCTCCCCACACACACATACACAGATACACACAGACACACACACACAGACACACACACACAGACACACACACACAGACACACATACACACACACACCACCGCTCCCCACACCCACAGACACACACACACACAGATACACACAGACACACACACACAGAGACACACATACACACACACAGACACACACACACACACAGATACACACAGACACACAGAGACACACACACACAGACACACACACACCACCGCTCCCCACACACACAGACACACACACACAGATACACACAGACACACAGAGACACACCACACACAGACACACACACACCACCGCTCCCCACACACACAGACACACACACACAGACACACACACACAGACAGACACACACAGACGCACACACACAGACACACACACACAGACACACACACACAGACACACACACACAGACACACACACACACAGATACACACAGACACACACACACAGACACACACATACACACACACACCACCGCTCCCCACACACATACAGACACACAGAGACACACACACAGAGACACACACACAGACACACACACAGATACACACAGACACACACACACACAGACACACACATACACACACACAGACACACAGAAACACACACAAACCCCCGCTCCCTACACACACAGACACACACACACACAGACACACACACACAGACGCACACACACAGACACACACACACAGACACACACACACAGACACACAAAGACACACACACACAGACACACACACACCACCGCTCCCCACACACACAGACACACACACACAGACGCACACACACAGACACACACACACAGACACACACACACAGACACACACACACAGACACACAGAGACACACACACACAGACACACACACACAGACACACACACACCACCGCTCCCCACACACTAACACACACTCGCGCTGTTGCTCTCTGGCAGTCTCCCTGGCGGCTGTTGCCATGGCGCCCGCGTGTTGTGACGTGACCGCTTCCCACACCTCCCTCGGCTTCCCTCTTTCTCTCCTCATCATCATCACCGCCTCTCTCCTCGCCTCCCTCACCGCCTCTCATCCTCACCCCCCTCACCGCCTCTCTCCTCTCATCCTCTCCTCCCTCACCGCCTCTCATCCTCACCCCCCTCACCGTCTCTCTCCTCTCATCCCCGCCTCCCTCACCTCCCTCAGCGCCTCTCTCCCGCCCTCATGCCGACAGAGTGTTCAGACAACGCCAGCGTGAGCTCCGGTACTCACCACCTCACCACCTCACTCACTCACTCACCCACACCCCACTCACCCACTCACTCACCTCACTCACCCACACACCCACTCACCCACTCACTCACCTCACTCACCCACACACCCACTCACCCACTCACTCACCTCACTCACCCACACACCCACTCACCCACACATCCACACACCCACTCACTCTCCCACACACCCACTCACCCACTCACCCACACACCCACTCACCCAACACACCCACTCACCCACGCACCCACTCACCCAACACACCCACTCACGCACACACCCACTCACCCACACATCCACACACCCACTCACTCTCCCACACACCCACTCACCCACTCACCCACACACCCACTCACCCAACACACCCACTCACGCACACACCCACTCACGCACACCCCCACTCACCCACACACCCACTCACCCAACACCCCACTCACGCACACACCCACTCACCCACTCATCCACACACCCACTCACGCACACCCCCACTCACCCACTCATCCACACACCCACTCACGCACACCCCCACTCACCCACACACCCACTCACCCACACACCCACTCACTCGCACACCCACTCACCCACACACCCACTCACCCACACACCTGCTCACCCACACACCCACTCACTCGCACACCCACTCACCCACACACCCACACACCCACTCACCCACACACGCACACACCCACTCACCCACTCACGCACACACCCACTCACGCACACACCCACTCACCCACTCACGCACACACCCACTCACCCACACACCCACTCACGCACACACCCACTCACGCACACCCCCACCCACACACCCACTCGCCCACACACCCACCCACTCACACACCCCGCTCACCCACACACCCACTCACGCACACACCCACTCACCCACACACCTGCTCACCCACACACCCACTCACTCGCACACCCACTCACCCACACACCCACACACCCACTCACCCACACACGCACACACCCACTCACCCACTCACGCACACACCCACTCACGCACACACCCACTCACCCACTCACGCACACACCCACTCACCCACACACCCACACACCCACTCACGCACACACCCGCTCACCCACACACCCACACACCCACACACCCACTCACTCACACACCCGCTCACCCACACACCCACTCACGCACACACGCACTCACTCACACACCCGCTCACCCACACACCCACTCATCCAACACACCCACTCACGCACACACCCGCTCACCCACACACCCACACACCCACACACCCACTCACTCACACACCCGCTCACCCACACACCCACACACCCACTCACACACCCGCTCACCCACACACCCACTCATCCAACACACCCACTCACGCACACACCGTCCCTCCTGTGTGCACCTCAATCCACGCGTGCGCCGACACGGACTTCCGATGAGCACGGTTGCCTACGTACGGTGCGAAAGAAGTTCAACATACAAACAGCAGCTGTACGTACTCGTGCTCCCCCACCCTGCCCTCTTGCCTTGCTGCCCCCCCCTCTGCCCCCTCCCAGCCCCCGTGGAGCCCCGCTACGTGGAGCCCGGCCACGTGGAGCCCCGCTACGCGAGCGTGCAAGATGCGGTCCGTGCCGGGGACGCGCCCGCCCTGGAGCTGCTGCACCGGCGCGGAGCGAGCCTCTCCCAGGCGGACGCCCTGCACGGCATGAGCCCCCTGCACTGGGCTGCACATGCGGGGAGCCTGGAGGTGCGGGGCTCCCACATCGATGTCTGACCAACAAGCGGACACACACAGCGCCTGCGGCCACGGTTGTCCGTCTAGTCCGCTCAGGTTGCCCGGTGCTATGGCGAGCGGATCCCCATCGGAAGGAGGTCACACACGGGTTCCTAGTGGGCTCTGTCCAGTGTTCATTTTCAGAGTGGGGGGGGGAGGCCACTTTCCCCGATAAGACATCGTCAGCGTGAGGACCGTCACGCATTTTAAACCACTGTTGGGTTTGACAGCACGGCCACGACCACGATGGTGGGAGGGGGCTTTCACTTTTGTGTCTTGTCGGGAGCCGGACGTCAGGGGCCACAAGAAAGGCCACCAGCGCCTTGCAATGGAGAACACTGGCTTAGCCCATCATCCCTCCGGGGTCGATACAATAAAATACTGCTTAACATGGAAGTCAAAGGTGGTTGTCCTATGGATAGACTCGCCCTCGCCATAGGATCGTGGATTTCCCATGATGAGATCTACACGTCTGTAAGCAGATGAGCTCCAATGCCTAATTCCTCATTTGAGCAGCAAAGCACTTCGACTTTGTCTGGGAATCAGCGCGTCTGTTCGGGCGGCAGGAATTGGTTTGTACCGAGACGTGATAGCGGTATCGTGTCCATCTTTATTGCAGTAAACTGCACCGTGTTGATACACCTGGACTGACTGAGATATATGTTTCAGGGTTTTCCTATGAAACAAATGTGTCAATCCTATTAATACAACTGCAGTATTTACCAGGGCGACCTTGCAGCTTCGAACCGCGAACATGTGCGACAAGCGGCGAGCCGTGTTGGTGCGGTGCGAGCACTGGCTGTGTGTGTGTGTGGAGTGGTAGTGTGTGTGTGTGTGGGGAGCGGTAGTGTGTGTGTACTGGATGTGTGTGCACTGTGTGTGTATGTGCATTGGATGTCTGTGTGTGTGCACTAGCTGTGTGTGTGCACTGTGTGTGTGCACTGTGTGTGTGTGTGTGCACTAGCTGTGTGTGTGTGTACTGGATGTGTGTGTGCACTGTGTGTGTGTGCAATGTGTGTGTGTACTGTGTGTGTGTGTGCAATGTGTGTGTGTACTGTGTGTGTGTGTGTGCACTGTGTGTGTGTGGGGAGTGGTAGTGTGTGTGTGTGGGGAGCGGTAGTGTGTGTGTACTGGATGTGTGTGTGTGTGCACTGTGTGTGTGTGCAATGTGTGTGTGTACTGGATGTGTGTGTGCACTGTGTGTGTGTGGGGAGTGGTAGTGTGTGTGTGTGGGGAGCGGTAGTGTGTGTGTGCTGGATGTGTGTGTGCACTGTGTGTGTACTGTGTGTGTGTGTGTGCACTGTGTGTGTGTGCAATGTGTGTGTGTACTGTGTGTGTGTGTGCAATGTGTGTGTGTGTGTAGTGCATGCACTGGCTGCTGTGGCACGGAGCTGACCCAGAGGCGACCGCCGGCCGTGGCTGGACCGCGCTCCACGTGGCGGCTCTGCGTGGGCAGCACGCGTGCGCCCAGGTGAGATGGGGGGGGGGGGCACTGGGGTTAAACTAAAACTATTACACCTTTTATATTTTACCAGGCCAAGTACACTGAGCTGTGTAGCTCTTCTTCAGAGGCCACATGGCTATCACAACTGATAGCTCAACGAAGTGGCTTATCATGTGGAAATGTATAGAGCAGTAGCCAAATATTGTCAACGTGTGATGTTGATTATTACGTGGGGGGGGACCGGAGGACCCGGAGAAAAATCCACGCGACCACGGGGAGAGAGAGAGAGACACCCAAACTCTAAACATGCAGCAGCACTCGTCGGGGTCGGAATGTAGCCGACGAGAGAGTTCACGTCTCGCCACCGCCGCCTTGTCGCCCCGCAGGCGCTGCTGGCGAGCGGGGCCGACGTGTCCCGAGCGGACGCCCGCGGCTGCACGGCCGCCCACCTCTCGGCGGGGCACGGCCACTCCTTCACGCTGCTCACGCTCCTCCGCGCCGGCGCCGTGAGTCGTCCCGGGGCCACGACACCGCCCGTGGCCACTCACCGCGGATGCTTCGGTTCCAAGTTAGAATCAAAGCGATCGGCCACTTGTCCCAATGGCGGATCGAGTGAAACTTTCACGGGGATTGGGGTGGGGGGAGACGGTCCTGAAACGTGGTGGATCACCGCACACACAAACGTTGTTTGTGAAACTCACTTCCCGCGGGCATCGAGGAGCCGTCCCCTGGCTCGCCAGGAGAAGGCGTTGACTCCACCTCTCCCGTCTGTATGGGATATTTCCCCCTCGCACGCGTGGGGTTTCTCCGGGTGCTCCGGTTTCCCTCCCACATGTAAACACCTTCATATATAGAGGACCGCAGTGCTTGGGCAATTGTTGGTGCCTGCTCACCGTGTGCTTACTGCTGCTGCTGCTGCCTTCCCGCTCGGCTGTCCTTCCTCCCCCTGGCGCCTCTTGGAGTCATGCTAATGTCTATTGCATTTCGTGTATTTATCAGAATCAGAATATGTATTTATATTGGAGGTATCCGATGAGCTTTGAAGCTCTTTCTTCACAGATGGCCAATAGGGGCACGGGGTAAGAACGTTGCAACAACAAACGGCATGAAAACACGAAAGTCAAACAAATCACCGAAACACAAATAAAAGTCAACAATCCCCATCATAGCAGGCAAAGCCCACTGAGCTATTAACTTATTTTTCAGAAAGCGACTTGGCCATCACAAACCACAGCTCAACAAAGTGGCTCATGACGTGGAACTTTATAGCAGTAAACACAATCTAAATATTCAATATCCCAGGGCCTGGAGAGCAGCCTCTAAACCCCCCTGCACTGACCCGGCCCTCACCTGCCCATGACCCCCCCTCCTCACCCCCCCCCCCCACTCAACCGCCCCGCCCCCCCCGCCCCCCACTCAACCGCCCCCCCCCCCCCACTCAACCGCCCCCCACTCAACCGCCCCCCCCCACTCAGGACGCGAGCGCCCCGGATGCACGCGGCTGGGGCCCCGCTCACTGCGCCGCCTTCCACGGGCGACTCGGCTGCCTGCAGCTGCTGGTGCGATGGGGGGCGCGCCTCGACGACACTGACTCCGCTGGGAACACGGCCGGTACGGCGAGCGGGGGGGGGGGGGGACACGGGCGGGGGGGGGGGCACGGGGCACGGGCAAGACGCGACGAGACGGTGACGAGAGGGAGACGAGGGGAGAGAGGGATACAATACACGGGGAGACACGGGGAGACACGCGGAGAGGGTGGCTAAGCAGAGACAAGGGGAGACACGGGGAGACACGCGGAGAGGGTGGGTAGGGGGAGACACGCGGAGAGGGTGGCTTGGGGGAGACACGGGGGACACGGGGAGAGGGTGGCTAGGGGGAGACGCGGGGAGAGATCCACGACACACTGGAGGAGTGGTCGCCTGTCATTGCTCCACCAGCCATCAACCAGCACAGCATAATGACCTCTTGACCTCGACCATCTCTCAAGTTTGACCGGAGTTGACTCCCTCCCTCCCCCCGCCCCACCCCTCTCTCCTCTCCCTGCCACGCCCCTCCCCCCAGCTCACCTGGCCGCCGCCGAGGGCCACGTGCCGTGCCTGCGCTTCACGCTGAGCGCCGGCCCCGCGGGGGCCACGGCGGCGCTGGGCGCCCGCAACGACCACGGGGAGACCCCGGAGGACGCGGCGCGGAGGCACCGCCGCGCGGCCGCCGTGGAGGTGGCGCGGGCTGCCAGGACGCGGCCCCCCCCGGGGGGGCCCGATGAGGGTGCGTGTCCAGTTTGAGGGGCGGGGGAGGGGGGCCACGGGCGGTGGCGACCGGTGGGTATAATAAATCCATCTGTGTGGCACAAACGCCCCCGCGGGGGTGGAGGGATGCTGGGGGTTGCCACCTGCCCGGGTTTGACTCGGGCGCTCCTTTGGGAAGTTGGCATGTGTTTGTTTGGGGCGCCGCGGTGGCTAGGAGATGTTAACTACCTCGCCTGGTGTACAGGAGGTCGTGGGTTTGATCCCGACACTGATGCCTGCTGCTGTGTATTTGGGTTTGCGTGTCTTTCCCTGTGTTCGCGTGGATTTTTCTCCAGGCCCTCCACATTTAGAATCAACATCACGCGTTTAGAGTATTTGACTGCGATACATTTCCACGTCATGATAAGCCACTTCGTTGAGCTAACATTTGTAATAGCCAGGTCGCTTTTGGAAAAGAGCTACACAGCTCAGTGGACTTTACCTGGTAGAATACAAATTGTTCGAGTTTTAAATAGTTTAGTTTGGGTGACAGCAGCAATTGATTTGTATCGAGATTTGGTGACACATGTTGCTGTGTTTAAGTGTATTACAGGATACCGCAGCACAGATTTCAACGCACAATTCAGAAAGACTGCACTCAATATCTGTTCTGAAAATGAAGCCAGTAGGGTGACGAGTCAAACATGTCTGTGTTTAAACGCAGAGAAACAGAACGGAGTTGGACTTAATAACTGAATATGCGTTTACCCATAATGCTCCACAATAGCGTGTAATGAGTTTGCCAGATGGCTGAACGAGCGGCTCACGATCTAAAGGTCGCGAGTTCATCCCCTCGTCAGGGGGTTCACTCAGCCCATCATCTCTCTGGGGTCGATGAAAATTATTCACACATTGCGCGAAAGCTAAGAGCGGTTGCCCAATGGATAGATTCGCCCCCGGTCACAGGAATGTGGAATTTCCGCCACTGTCTCGGGGTTCTATAAACAGATGACCACCAATGGCTCAATGTATGTATGTTGAACTTCTATCGCACCGTCCGCTCATGTGATCAGGAAATCACTTTGGCGTTGATACCCGCATCTGTTCTATCGCTGTCTGGTCCATCGCACCCCCACCAGATCTGGCGTTCCCTGCGCACGTGGCGGCCTACGCGGGAGACCTGGAGTCGCTGCGTCGCCTCGTCGAGTCGGGGGTCATCACGGTCAATGAGCGCGACGGCGGAGGGGGCACCCCCCTCCACAAGGGTGAGGGGGGGAGGGAGACGAGGCCCAAAACGCCAAGCGACTAGCAACAAACAGCACCGTTGACGTCGTAACAGACAGACGTCCGTGGGAGGGCCCGTACGAAGGGAAACTCACTGCATCAGTGTATTAGTATCGGGTAGCCCAGTCTCACGTGGGTTGGCATCGTCTCACTTATGGTCGGCATGAACCCACTTGGTCTAGCAGTCTCCCCTGGTCTGGCATTGCCTCACTTGGGCTGCAATTCTCTCACCTTAGTTGGCAGTCTCATACTCACCCTGAGTGCCTGTGCTGTGTTCAGCTTCAGTTTGTGTGGTGAGTGGCGCTGGTCTAGCGGTGAGCTCGCTGTGCTACGACTCCGGCTACGACCCATGTTCGATTCCCGCTCACGGCCAACACCAGTGACAATTATTTGAACCGATCCTGGGCCTCCAGTAGGTCGACTCAGCCTCAAATGAGTACCTGGTGTGGTGTGTAAACATCGCCACTAGGGAGACAAAGGCGTTGGCCACCCACCCCCTCGTGTGCCGTGCCGGCCGTTAATAGGTGCTGCTCGCTAACAGCACTTTCCCCAACAGTCTGTTAAGACTATGCGGGGGATCTTTGTTTTTGCAGCTGCAGGACAGGGTCACCTCGACTGCCTCCAGTGGCTGCTGCAGGCCGGAGCGAACGCGCACGCACGCAACGACGCAGGCGAAACCCCCCGTGACACGGCCAAGAGGTGACACGGGGGGTTTGCTGTGGGTGGGGGTGCTGGGGGGGGGGGGTGCTGAGTTGGGGTGAAGGAGGAGGGGGCGACGGGGGCAGTGGCTGAGGAGCAGGGCAAGGATGGATGGGGGCAATAATCTGGGTCCACATTTGCGCGACCTTCGCGGGGGTGAGGCTTTGGCCTGACCTTTCATCTGTCGTGACCTCGGCCTCCCAAACCGCTCGGCTCTCCCAATTCGCGACCTCACTGCAAAGCTGTCAATCCAAGTGGTTTACCCCGTATTCTTGTACAGAGAAATTGAGTTTTCAGGTCCATACGGTGTACAGACGCTTCAATACGGGAAACATTTTTTCGTATATTTGTTTGTGTTTCTCCCTTGTGATGGGACTTTGTAGGATGAACGTTGATATTTATAAGGGCACGGGGTGACCAGTAACGTCGAAATTGGTCTGTCATAAGTAGGGCACTGATAAGGGGTTGACAGGTATGCGACCATAGCGTGCGTTTAGAGTGTTTGGATACTATACTATAAATGTCCACGTGATGATAAGCCACTGCGTTGAGCTATCATTTGTGGCCAGGTCACTTCTGCAAAAGAGCTATGAAGCTCAGTGGGCCTCACCTGGCAAAATAAAAATAGTTCATAGTTAGTTACCCTGCGGACTTTTCACTTCTTCCTTCACCGCTCAGCTCCACAGCCCGCCCCACCACCGGCCCCCCTGCCCCTCACCCCCTCCGTGGCGCACTCCTCGCAGGTTCGCTCAGCTCCACTGCTCGCCCCACCACCGGCCCCCCCTGCCCCTCACCCCCTCCGTGGCGCACTCCTCGCAGGTTCGCTCAGCTGGCGGCCGTGAGACTCCTGGCGGCCGGGCGGATCGACTCGGACTCGGACTCCTCGGAAGGAGAGGCAGCGCCGGCCGGCGCCATGGACCGCTCCGACGCTCCGACGCCCTCCGCCGAGCAGCGCAGAGCGGCACGAAGTGAGCACCGGGGAGCGCCCACTCCGCGGTGTTTATTAAACTATTAACACTATTGTTGTTTTTATCTCAGCAGGTAAGGCCCACTGAGAGCTGTATAGATATTTTTCAGAAGAGACCTGGCTATCACAAATTATAGGTCAACGAAGTGGATTATCACGTGGACATTTATAGCAGCCAAATACTCTGAACGCGTGATGTTGCTTCTAAATGTGGAGGGAAAAACCAGAGGACCCAGAGACAAATCCACGAGACCACGGGGAGAACATGCAAAATCCAAATATACAGGCGCCAGTGTCAGGGTCGGGATCGAACCCACGACCTCCTGTACACCAGGCAAGTGAGTTAACATCTTGCCAGGGCAGGGTTATTTACAGATCCTCTTTAACCCTTTTTTCCACACACGGCTGGTTTTCCACCGACTCTTTGCCATGCTAAGCTGGAACCGAACCCTGATGCGCTGGTGGTCTAGCAAGGAAGGTATCAGAATCTGGTTGGGGGCCGAGCAAGGCCAGGGATGATACCACTTCCCACTTCCCTCTTCACACACACACCCAGGTGTTTTGGCTTTATTGACTCGCTCAACAGACTATTGGGGCACCACGCCGAGCCGCCTGTGTCTCCCCAGTGGTAATGTTTACACACCGCACGAGGTACTCATTTGAGACCGAGTTGACCTAGGGGAGGCCCAGGCCCGGTTCAAATAGTCATCACTGGTGTTGGCCGTGAGCGGGAATCAAACTCGGGTTGCTCAGTTCGCAGCGCAGCGCGCTAACCGCTACACCCCCGCTCCCCACGATACACACCCCCACACACGTGCGTGCGTGTGTGTGCGTGCGTAGGACGCGCGCAGGCCCGGGTTGCGGAGCTGGAGCGGCTCCTGGGCATCGCGAGGAGCAACGCGAAGCAGCTGGGCGGCGTCGTGCAGGAGGACGAGCAGCGGCGCGGGGAGCAGCGCCGGCTCGAGCGGTGAGAGCGCCGGAAACCCCGGGGGGGGGGGGGGGCTCCCCCGCATGCCTCCACCCCTCCCCCCCACCGCAACCCTACAACACCAGGGCCCTCCACTGCACAACCGAGCTACAACTAAGCGAATTTTATTTTGCCAGGTAAGGCCCACTGAGCTGTATAGCTCCTTTTCAGAAGCGACCTGGCTGTCACAAATGACAGCTGAACGAAGTGGCTCGTCATCATGCAGAAAGTGTCTAGCAGCTAAATATTCTGAAAGCGTGCTGTTTATTCTAAATGTGGAGGGAAAAACTGGAGAACCTGGAGAGAAATCCACTCGACCACAGGGGGAGAGACACGCAAACTCTAAATATACAGCAGGCACCAGGGCCGGGATCAAACCCACGGCCTCCTGTATACCAGGCGAGGTAGTTAACATCTCACCACCAGCTGCGTCCTCGCGGTGTGCTGACTGACATTGCGCGCACGTAAACGCAACATTTGCCCTGCACTTTGCCCCATCTTGGCCAGGGGTTGTTTTTTTACGCTGCATAAGCCGTGCCACTTGATACGGGCCAAGGGGTGGGGTTACCTCAGTAGTGGGCGGGGCACTCGCTTTGTGAGCGGGGCTAGTGGTCGAGTGGGCAGGGCCACGTAGAAGTGGGCGGCGCCGATGGAGGAGAGCTGGTTCTCGGGGGCCTGCCAGCTCTGAGCGGGCTTAGCCTTGCGGTGTGACCGGGCGGACCGCAGGGAGGCGCAGGAGCTACGAGCACAACTGGAGTACGAGCGTCTGCGGCGCGAGGAGCTGGAGCGGCTCCTGGACGAGTCGCGTGGCCAGACTGAGCATCTCGGACGTCTGGTTGAGGAGCTGCAGGGACCCCCGCACGGCCCTCCTCCGGAGCCGGTGAGACTGGGTGGGGTGCCGCTGTACGGCGAGCGGCCGGTGCTTCTCTGGGACGGCGCTTTCCGCTGGTGGGCTTGTAAATTGACTTCATCCCTTTTTTGGCCCTTCGAGGGCACTGCCCCGCGAGATTGCGAATTCAATCTGGTGGCACCGTCCGTTGTTCGACGACGATGGGCGGGCGGCGGTCGACCGACGTGCTCCATCGTTCGGCTCTGGAGGCGCAGGCGGAACTGCCCTTTAGTCTCCGCTCGCGGGATCTACCGACACATAGCAGTGGTGCGACTCGCCACACTTGCGCTGCGGGTAGCGCAATCGCGGAGGGCAGGGCTCGACAGCCGGGGGAGGATTCACGAGTGAGGGTCTGCGAGAGGATATCGGCGACATGCGACGAGAACTCGGGCTCCGTTCGAGATCTCCCTTCGCGTGGTTGGATCAATAGGAATCGCGCCACAAGCGTGTGCTGGGACTTATTTTGACAGCTTCTGAGCCCCAATTGGTGTCGAAATGGCCGCGGTTAGCACGGGCCTCAGTCGCCCTCTCAGTCACCCTTCACGTCACCCTCCCTGTCACCCTCTCAGCCCGTGGGGCCCGATGCAGTTCCGCCTGCGTCTTTGACAGCCACTTCACCGGGCGTGCGATCTCGGCAGGCGTCGCGGGCCACTGCTGTGTGACCCACGTTCATCTCCCTTCCCTCGCCGTGTTGGCCTGCCCCCCTCCCCCCCACCTGAAGGTCATGGGAGAAGGGAGGGCCCGGAGTGCGAAGAACAAGAACTCAAAGAGAAGACAGGAGGTGGAAGGGAGGTTCGTCAGGCGGCTGCCCCAGTGAGGGGTGGGCACTGCACACCCGCTGCTGCAAACTCCTCTTCATCCCCACCCTTCACATGAGAGTATGTATGTTCAAATTCATTCGCACCGTACATAGCCAACCGTGCTAATCGGAGGTGCAGGGGAAGGACAACAAACTAAACACAAAAAGCAGTTTTAAAGAAATTAATTTTCAATCTAGATTTAAAAGTGCATAGCTCCAGTGGCTTCCTAATATCGGAAGAGCGTTCCAGACGGCCGCAGAAGTGCATCTGAAAGTACAATGCAGTGACCGTCTTTATTCGATATCCAGCAATAAGCCACTGCGAGGATGACTGGAGTTCGTGTGACGGTTCGTGTTCCTTGACGAGATCAACGAGGTATCGTGGTTCATTTGTGCCAAGCACTTTGTGTGTATTATTTGGTTCTTTCGGTAAAGCCACGTAGATAGGAAAATAATAAAATTATTACGACGTTTCGATTGCAACACAAGCAATCATCATCAAGTGAAAAAATATTTTCTCCTGCCTCGGCAGCTCTCTCGCTATATTTTTTTCACCTGATGACGATTGCTTGTGTTGCGATCGAAACGTCGTGATGATTTTATTATTTTTCCATCTACTCGGCTTTACCAAAAGACCCAAAGAATATTAATTCCTGCAGTCACGAAAGCTTTAAGTCAACTTTGTGTGTAATGAATGCGACTTCATAATGTACTCGTTCGGCAACCAGGAGTCGATACAGATCGGCGAGCACTGGACAGACACGGTCGGATCTTGCAGTGCCCGTCACAAGTGCCGGCAGCGCGGGTCGCGGTGTCGTCGGTGATTCCGAATATGGCGGTACATGTTTTACCACCTGCGGCCAGAAATTTAAACTACTCAACTAAAACTAAACTATTTTCTATTTTACCAGGTAAGGCCCACTGAGCTATATAGCTCTTTTTCAGAAGTGATCTGGCCACAAATGATAACTAAACGAAGTGGCTGATCATGTGGACATTTATAGCAGCCAAATTTATAGCATCCAAATGCCACAGGGAGAACACGCAAACTCCACATGGGCAGCAGGCATCAGGGTAGGGATCGAACCCACGACCTCCTACATACCAGGCGAGGGAGTTGACATCTTGTCACCGTGGCGCACCCCCGTGGCAGTCGCCAACTTTTCATTGTCCCCCGACGTTGTTCAGCCAGAAACATCCACGCGGTGAAGAGGGTTCCCACACGAACAGCGAGAGGTTGTGGTCTCCGGCCTCCGCCAATGTAAATGTCACAAGCGTGGAAATGGTTCGCTTGGCATTCTCAACGCCTTTTCATTGCAAGCTTGAGAGTGTGCATGCATTCACTTTGTCGTTAACTCACTCGCTCGCTGTTCCATCTGTCTATAAGGAGGAACGGTTCATGGAATTACCCGTCTCTTATAATAACCTTGCTCTATTCAATAATTTGTGTTAACTATTTAGTACAACTTCAATAATACTGTTTGAGTTTGTTGTTGTTTGTGCTGCAAGTGCAGCAGTAGCATCACCAGATAATTTGTGAGTAAGTATTCAAACAAAAAGCTAAAGGAGCACACTCACCAAGGAGACAAAATCGCACCGTGTGGCTATTCTGACAACCGAAATGTAAAAGATGATCCTTTTTCAATAAAGTTTATTTTGTCATTGTTTGTTTCATCGTTGTGTCCGTCGTGTTTTATTCGTCTCCACCGCGTGGCTGATGCTGCTGTAGAGCAACAGCTGTGGGGTTGACATTGAGGTGGTCGGGCCAGATGAGTATGTCAGGAGTAGCGGAGTGGTAAACCATCGCTGTGATGAGTGAGATGATGGATGAGATGATGGGTGAGATGATGAGTGAGATGGTGGGTGAGATGATGGGTGAGATGGTGGGTGAGATGGTGAGTAAGATAATAGGTGAAGTGATGGGTGAGATGGTGGGTGAGATGATGGATGAGATGGTGGGTGAGATGGTGGGTGAGATGATGGATGAGACAGTGATAAAGTAGTTTGAAGGACATCTCAGTGATAAAGTAGATTGAAGGACATCTCAGTGATAAAGTAGATCGAAGGACATGACAGTTGCACTGTCAAGGTGACCTCAATCTGGGCGACCTGGAAGGACGGCCTTTACCTGTCGACTTTGAGCCCTGAGAGCCAATAAGCCACGAGTTGTGTAGGCCATGCTACTCCACCAGGGCCCAACGGGTCCTTGCTTGCACAAGGGCCCGTGCCAACCACTGTAGCCACAGCTTTACCAACACAGGAGAGTGTTGATATACAGCTCACTGCTTGTTTATGTAGCTCACTGCTTATAACCATGCGATGCCTGAGGGAGACATCGCAGCGAGACACTCCGCGCTAAGCACGGCGTGGTTATCTGCTCGCTTGACCACCTGGAAGTGACATTGTAGTTGTTACTCTGCATCTACATCAGCAGCAGCCGGACGACAAGAAGGAGATCGCTTGTCAACATCAACCCTTGGGTGAAACTATGGGCCAGGACTTTAAAACATCCACGTGTTTTAGAAATACAATGAAGACCGTTGACGTCAGATAACATTTATTCGTAGATTTTGTGCAGATCAAAGCTAACATAATTACGGCTACAATGTTTATAGGAACAGTAAAATGAATAACATTCAGTTACAGCGCATCCTCAAAAAACTGGGCCAATTCGGGGGTGTGGTGCCCCGTGATATATCCATCATCTAAACAAAACCCCATGTACAGCTTGAATTGCTTTTACGTGTGCTTTTTTAAATTTGATATAAAATTAAAAAAGCAATATAAAAGTTGAAAAGAATGCCAGTAAGACCACTGGAAATGACAAAGAGACAATTGTGGGACACAATACAGTGCTGCACACAAGGCACTGCACAGTGTGCAGTCAGTCCTCAACTGGGACTGCGCGTGGAGATGCCCGTTGCCACCTGTCCAGGTGTTACCTGGTACGGTCCATGAATAGTTGTCTGTGTTTGGGTGGCAGGAATGTATTTGTACTGTGGCCTGGTACCGGTATTGTGTGAAACTGTATTACAAGCAACTGCAACAAAATGCTGATGATGGTAATAAGACCGAGTGCTGACTGCGACATATGCCCGGGTTTGGTCTGTGGCCACCCAGTAAACATTCGCCATTGGGCCAATATTGGCTGGCACGTGGTTGGATCCATTGGCCCAACGTCGGGCCAACGTTCCAAGTATACTGGGTGGCAGAATGGAGACGCAGCCACCAACAAGTCAGCATTGCTTTGCACGCTCTTCAATATTTGAGTTGTCGGGGAAGGAACTTTCAACTTGTTCCAATTACTTTCATATTTGTATGGGTCCGCCCCCACAGTAAAACCTCCCGTTATCGATACACCACACGGTGTGATGGACCCCCGCGCTAGCTCGAGGACGCGCAGTGCAGCCAGATTAGTCCCCCACGCCCCGTCGTGCAGCAGCAGCAGCAGCAGCTCACCCCCTGAGCCCCACGTGGCACCGCTGCGGGCTGCAGCGTCAGCAGCTCCGCGGTGCTTCAGGGCCGGCGGGAGCTTCTTAGTGCAGTCATCAGGGCCCAGGGCAAACGAACAACAACAACAACAACAACATATTCTATGGTTCCTTCGGTAAAGTCACGTAGATAGAAAAATAATAACAATAATAAATATCACGACGTTTCGATCGCAACACAAGCGACCGAAACGTCGTGATATTTTATTATTATTTCTATTAACTTTATTTTCATTTTTATTATTTTTCTATCTACATGACTTTACCGAAAGAACCATCTAATATTAATTCATATAGTCACGAAACTTTTAAGTCAAAATTTAACAACAACAACCTGACACAACAACAACAATGTCACAACTACACCAACTGGAATGGAGGCCGGGTCAGAGCCGGCAGTGCTGCCTCCACAGCGCGTGGGGACGCCTTGGCAAGTGGTGGGAGCGCTGTCACCGTGGTGGGTTGGGGGGGGGAGCTCATGGAATGGAGGTTGCTGGGAGGGGGGTGCCCGACTCAGGCAGTCGCCCCCTCGCAGTTGACGTTCCGCCCCCCCCCACCCCCAAAACATACAAACTTTATACCCCCCCCCCCCTCCCGCGTCTTACCCACATTTCACTTCACAGAACGCATCTCGACTCTCGGCTGGGATACAACATTAAAGGAGCGGAACGGGGGAAAGATGATTCAGAGATGTTTCCAAATACCCAGAAAATTAGCAGGATGCATGATTTAAATGTGGTCACGATTTTTTGTCTCAACTGTGTCAAAGGTTAAAGAGAGCTCCGTCATCGCCACGGTGGGTCCCTGGTTCATTGTGGTGGAAAGGGGCTGCCACAGAGCTACGAGGGTCAGACTCAGGAACGGTCAAACTCGGTTGGTTGCGATGGAGATGCTCGTGGGCGCTGGGGGTACGGTTGTTACCTCTCAGGCACAAACACAAAGCCTGGACTTATCATGGGTGGAATAAAACGAATCTATTTTTATTTTAACCAGATAAGGTCCACTGAACTAAGTAGCTCTTTTTTAGAAGCGATTATAGTAGCCAAATACTCTGAAACGCACGCTGATTCTAAATGTGGAGGGAAAAACTGGAGGACCTGGAGAAAAATCCACGCGACCACGTGGGAGAACACGCAAACTCAAAATATACAGGCATCAGGGTCGGTATCGAACCCACAACCTTCTGTATACCAGGCAAGGTAGTTAACATCTCGCCACCGCGAAATACCAAACGAGGGGTTAGCTTACCTCTAAATGCACCGTCTTGAGTGGAGACTGACAGAAAGACCCGGGAAGACTTAAGAGACTTCCCAGGACAGCTACCTCAACGAGAGAACGATCCTGGGAAAAACCAGGACAGGTGGCAACCCTGGCTGGAAGTTTCGGAGGAGGGAGGGGAAGGAGACCCACGCAGAACCGCACGGGGCTTGCGTCCAACAGAGACGCGGCCACGCGTTCTCGATCAGCCGCTCGCGACTCACAGCCATGGGTTGAGAAGAAGGCTGTGAACTCGGCCCGAAACATTACGACTCGCGCTGCGCCCTCTCCCCTCGGGAGTCGACGAGTCGGCACCATCGGCGGATTGTAATTCATTTCAACGAACGATCGCTCGATTTCGAGCGTGCTCTTTCGGGTCAGACTGTTGCACGTCGAACATTTCATCCCTAGGGCGTCGCCACGCAGTACCTCCTGGCATCATTACACACAAAGTGCGAGGCCACAAATGAATCACAATAACCTGCTGATTTCGTCAAGGAGCATACATTTTCATCGCACAAACTCCGGTCATCCTCGCAGCAGCAGCTTTTGGCGAGCCATCGAATAAATATAGTTACTGCATCGCACGCTTTCAGATGCGCTTTTATGGCCGTCTGGAACGCTCTTCCTTTCGATATTAGGAAGCCACTGGAGCTATGCACTTTTAAATTATCCAGATTGAAAACTCATTTCTTCAGAACTGATTTTTGTGTTTAGTTTGTTGTCCTTCCCCCGCACCTCTGATAATGATCGTAATTGGCTATGTACGGTGCGAAAGAAGTGCACGATAAGGAGTTAATGTTCAGGAGTTCGGCTCCTCTGAAGATGCCCGTAGCAGTGTGTGGCGAAAGCTCGAGAGATGAGAGGCTCCACGGGCGATGGTCTGGCCCTTGGCCACTCGAGCATCAGTCATTGGTTCCAGTTTCTCAATGGGACTGTCTGTGGGTCTCTATGTGAGTCTGTGGGTCTCTATGTGAGTCTGTGGGTCTCCATGTGAGTCTGTGGGTCTCCATGTGAGCCTGTGGGTCTCTATGTGAGTCTGTGGGTCTCTATGTGAGTCTGTGGGTCTCTATGTGAGTCTGTGGGTCTCTATGAGTCTGGGGGTCTCTATGTGAGTCTGTGGGTCTCTATGTGAGTCTGTGGGTCTCTATGTGAGTCTGGGGGTCTCCATGTGAGCCTGTGGGTCTCTATGTGAGTCTGTGGGTCTCTATGTGAGTCTGTGGGTCTCTATGTGAGTCTGTGGGTCTCTATGAGTCTGGGGGTCTCTATGTGAGTCTGTGGGTCTCTATGTGAGTCTGTGGGTCTCTATGTGAGTCTGTGGGTCTCCATGTGAGCCTGTGGGTCTCTATGTGAGTCTGTGGGTCTCTATGTGAGTCTGTGGGTCTCTATGTGAGTCTGTGGGTCTCTATGAGTCTGGGGGTCTCTATGTGAGTCTGTGGGTCTCTATGTGAGTCTGTGGGTCTCTATGTGAGTCTGGGGGTCTCCATGTGAGCCTGTGGGTCTCTATGTGAGTCAGGGGTCTCTATGTGAGTCTGGGGGTCTCCATGTGAGCCTGTGAGTCTCTATGTGAGTCTGTGGGTCTCTATGTGAGTCTGTGGGTCTCTATGTGAGTCAGGGGTCTCTATGTGAGTCTGGGGGTCTCCATGTGAGCCTGTGAGTCTCTATGTGAGTCTGTGGGTCTCTATGTGAGTCTGTGGGTCTCTATGTGAGTCTGTGGGTCTCTATGTGAGTCTGGGGGTCTCTATGTGAGTCTGGGGGTCTCCATGTGAGCCTGTGAGTCTCTATGTGAGTCTGTGGGTCTCTATGAGTCTGGGGGTCTCTATGTGAGTCTGGGGGTCTCCATGTGAGCCTGTGAGTCTCTATGTGAGTCTGTGGGTCTCTATGTGAGTCTGTGGGTCTCTATGAGTCTGGGGGTCTCTATGTGAGTCTGTGGGTCTCTATGTGATACTGTGGGTCTCTATGTGAGTCTGGGGTCTCTACGTGAGTCTGTGGGACAATACGTGAGAAAGCTCTGATTATAGTGAAGCAACTGCCATCACATTGTAGTCACTCCATGAATTCCTCCTGCACGCGCCACGAAAACCCATGACGGATGTCGTAGCCTCAACCCGGATCCACGAGCGGACAACACTTCGTGCAGATCAAACCCTCCTCCCCAGCTGGACGGTGTCACTGCACCGATCAAAAGTCCTGGGGCCTGCTCCCCCCCTCCCCCCCACCCACCCCTGGTGCCGCCCGTGGCCCCTTAGGGCCGTGCGGCTCAGGCGAGGAGAATGGCCCAGAGTGCGGTCGCAACCGCCACCAGGGCCACGGAGCTCACCACTGTTAGGAAGACAAAGCGGGAGGTGGGGGAGTAACGATGTGAGGTCCGAGCTGGTGGTGCAAATGATAAGACGGCCACACATTCAGCTCTTGAGTTGGTGTTCTGGGCAAGGCTGAGAGTATTGTATTGATGTTGAACTTCTTTTGCGCCGTACGTAGCCAACCGTGCAGTGAGTGTTGGTGGATCACACGAATCTTGTCAAACTCCCTTCTCATGGGCATCAAGAAGGAGCCATATCCTGGCTTGCCAGACGGCGGTGCAGCAAATGTGGACTCCACCTGTTCCGTCTGTATGGGATCGGGTGTTTCTCCCTTGGGTGCTCTAATTTCCTCCCACATGTAAACGCTCATGAATTGGCCGATAACACCTTCATACATAGAGGACTGCAGAGCTTGGGCAACTATTGGTAGCGCTGGCTCATCAGATGGCTGTTGTTGCTGCTGCTGACTTCCCGCTCTGTCGTTTGTAGCTACTCCTCCTCCTGCCACCTCAGAGTCGTCCTCTCTCTCTTTTCCAGAGTGAGTGGATACCGTGTGGAAGCGCAGCATTACAAGTTTAACATTCATCATCATCATCATTACATAATAACAAAAACACACACAATGCACGCTTGATTCATATTTTCGCCAATTGTTTCATAACAGGAGTTCATGGCGGGCCAGTAGCGGGGAACGCCCTCACCTGCGGGCTTGGCGCCATTGCAGTCCATGCCCTCCATGGAGTCCAGCAAGCCGCCGCCCAGCCACTCCTTGTAGCCCAGGCGGCCTTCTGGGTAGAAGAGGCTGACGGTGGAGTCCTTGAAGAGCAGATCGGTCCCCTGGAAACCGCTCGAGTCGAACATCTTGAACTGCGTCCCATTGTCGCTGCCAAATTCCTTCTGCTCGCAGACGCATGGACGGACGTTTCACGTCTCATCTTATTTTATATTTGGAGAGCCCCTTAGCTCAAGGCGCTTCAGAACGTAATTTCATAACATGGAAAGAACAGTGTCTAACACAGCGTCGTACAGCATCACGTGAGAGCGGAACACCACCTTAGACGCGGAACAGCAGGACCAAGTCGCAGGCAGCATCGTGCGACAGCGACGTGGCGACGTGCTCACTCACCTGCGCGGCGTCGAGGATGTCGAAGATCCAGCGGGGATCGGAGCTGGAGCGCGTCACCACGGCGTGCGGGGGGACACTGGCCAGGTTGCAGGACTTGAAACCCGTGACCGGGAGACGAGTTCCACTCGGACAGAGCAGCTCAAAGTCGGTGGAGAGAAGGCCGCGTGCCCACTCGTCGGGGTTGTGACCTGGGGAGGCGCGACAGTTGGGGGGGGGGGGGGGGTGGGGGCACAGAGGTCGAGGTGGCAGTTGAGAGGAGCTTGATTTGTAGTCATCCCTTGCCAACTGCGGATTTACCAACCGCGACATTTGAGTACACGCGGATGTACATCTGTTGATGATGGCCACGATGGCGATGATGATGATGGCCATGGCGGCAATGGGCCACTCACCGTCTGTGTTGTCTGTGACAGTCGTGTGCTTCACAAAGGCCACATCCCCCGATCCTGACGCCAGACAGCTGCACAATACAAAGGTGAACAGAATGATGGGACAAACGTGTGTTTGTAAGCTTGTGTGGGCGTGTGCGTGTGGGGAGCAGTAGTGTCGTGTTTAGCACGTTGCTCTACGAACCCGGCGACCGGGGTTCGATTCCCACTCACGGCCAAAAGCAGTGAGGATTATCTGAACCAGTCCTGTGCCTCCTCGAGGTGCTCGCTCACAGCACTTTCCCCAGCAGTCCGCTGAGGCTGTCTGCGGTTGTGTGAGCTACCTACCGGAAGGCTCCAGTGTAGCCGAAGAATCGCTCGTGGTTGGAGGCTGCGCACTTCTCTCCCCCCGCCTCGTTCCCGATGCACAGGTGGCACAGGCTGGGCGGAAGGTTGCCCGCGCCCGGCACGCAGCTCGCGTTGAAGAAACTTGCCACCTCTACGTACAAAGACAAAGATCCCCCAGTATAGCTTTAACAGGCTGTTGGGGCAAGTGCTGTTAACTAACACCAATGAAGGCCAGCAAACGAGAAAGTGGGTGGCCAGCACCCCAGCAGGTACTCATTTGAGGCTGAGTCGACCTAGGGGAGGCCCATAACCAGTTCAGATAATGGTCACTGGTGTTGGCCGTTAGCGGGAATGAAACTCGAGTTGCCAGGTTTATAGCGCTAACCACACACAATCACTCCCCATTCATACACACATACAAGACAAAGATCCCCCATATAGCCTTAACAGACTGTAGGGGCAAGTGCTGTTAGCGAGCACCTCTGAAGGCCGGTACGGCACACGAGGGAAGTGGGTGGCCAGCACCACACCCGACCATCTTTGTCTCCCCAGTGGCGATGTTTACACCGCACCAGGTACTCATTTGAGGCTGAGTCGACCTAGGGGAGGGCCTGGACCAATTTCGATAATTGTCACTGGTGTTGGCCGTTAGCATTAATGGAACTCAGTCGCCAGGTTCATAGGGCAGCGCGCTAACCGCTGCACCACCTCTCCCCATGGATACAAAGACAAAGATCCCTCATATAGCCTTAACAGACTGGTGGGGCAAGTGCCGTTAGCGAGCACCTATGAAGGCCAGAGCGATACACGAGAGGGTGGGTGGCCAGCACCACGCCCAACCACCTGTGTCTCCCCACACGTTCACACATACGTACACATAGACACACATATACACACACGTACACACTCACACTGAAGATCAGGGGGAGAACATCCAAAATACACTCAGATGCACCGGCGCCCGAGTCGGGGAATCGAACCCATCGACCGCTATGCGGCCGAGGCCAACCTCTCACCCTTGGGGATGTCGCAGCCGTCCCCCTTGATCTCGCCGCTCTCCCGCAGCCTCCCCACGGGGATGAGCCACCCGGCGGTGCGGCCGAGCCCCGTGTGGCACGAGCGCGTCCCCCGCAGCGTGGGGAACGTGACGCTCGCCGGCGCCGCCTTGCGCACCACGGCCACGGCGTAGTAGGTGGGGTCGACGGTGCTCGCTACTCCACGTGGGGGGCAGGGGGCATCGGAGGGTGGTGGGAGGGGGGCAGCAGTAGCGGGGAAGGGGGTCACAGAGGCGGCGTGTAGAGGCATCCTTTACAAACACACGAGGAGGAGTGTTTGTTTTATTTTTGAGTGAGGCTTTCTCGGGTGGCGAGATGTTAACTCCCTCGCCTGGTATACAGGAGGTCATGGGTTCGAAAAGGACCCTGATTCCTGTATATGTGGAGTTTGCCTGTCTCTCTTTCACCTCGTGGTCGCGTCAATTTTTTTCTGGGTCCTCCGGTTTTTCCCTCCACATTTAGAATCAACATCACCCCGCGTTTTAGAGTGTTTGTTTCGTTGTGGCCAGGTCGCTTCTGGAAAAGAGCGCCATAGCTCAGTGAGCCTTACCTGGAAAAATAAAAATAGCTTAGAGTTGTTTTTTATCGTATTGCTCTGACAGTGGGGTACAAGCAAATGAACCGTTGACAATTTGCGCCTCCCCTTTAATAGGTCTGCTATTGTGCAGCAAACCGTTCGACATAACAAGAAGACAGGCACAGATAATGACAAGAACAATGCCCGGACACGTTCGTCAATAACACTGTGGGCCTTGTAAGTAAAAAATACAAATATAAAAGGCGACGTTTCGGGCAGTGGCCCTTCTATGCGCTCTAAGGGCCAGCGCCACGCCCAGCCACTTGTGTCTCCCCAGCGCCGGCGTGCACATGCACACTGCGCCAGGTGCCGGCGTGCACATGCACACTGTGCCAGGCGCTGGCGTGCACATGCACACTGTGCCAGGTGCCGGCGTGCACATGCACACTGCGCCAGGTGCCGGCGTGCACATGCACACTGTGCCAGGCGCTGGCGTGCACATGCACACTGTGCCAGGTGCCGGCGTGCACATGCACACTGCGCCAGGTGCCGGCGTGCACATGCACACTGCGCCAGGCGCTGTCCAGCGGGGCGCAGACAATGCCTGCGTTGAAGGAACCACGGCGTGGGAACACGCGGTGGTGATTTGGCAAGTGTGAAATGACACCTGGTTCCAACATCGAGCGTGTCTATAGCGGACGGTCAAACCGATATTTGAAATGTTAGAGCTGGAATTCGGCCATATTAACCCTTTCCCGTTGCGATGACGTGCATGTACGTCAAACGAACCGAAAATAAAAATAAATAAATTAGCTATCCGTACACCGAGGCTCCCACAAGGCCATGCGGGAAGGCGGGTGGCACAGTTTAGCGCCACTTCTCTGCGGTGAGTACAACGTCTTTAAACACAACGGCGCTGAAACTCTCTAAATAACATTAACGCGAACCGCTTGAGCGTTCCGAGATCAGCGGTGAACGGGACACCCACCCTGCAACTTGCAGATGTCTCGGAAGGAGACGGAGTTAATAAGTAAATAAACAAATTACATTTTATGAGGGTTTTTTTTTACTGTACTTTCATTAGTTACTGGACTGAGACCACCAATCCACTCCGCTCGAGAAACCGGTTTAATCTCGGTGGCTTCCTGGCTCAGAAGGGATTTTCCAGGTTAAATATTTAAATGCGATAAAAAAAACTTCAACATGTTTTTTTCTTCCAGCTAAGACGTCTGACGTCTGTGCCACCCGGTAACTTCCACTGCAATTCTTCTACAAGTTCTCACTCGTCGTTCTACAACAACCTTGGTTAATCGATGTTGGCCCTCGAACACGTTTGTTGTGAATGCAGGGCTCTCCGCGGTGTTGGCCAAAAGTGGCCCTCAGCGCTGCCATCTCTACCAGCCCCTTTCCCTGGAGAGGGCGAGAGCCCCAGCAGAGAGCCGGCGTTCTCACACGGTGGCGGTCGCACGGCACAATTCGTCAGGACAAACGTTTGGCGTTAAACAACCTGCCCACCGGAGATTGTGGGGGACAAAGTTCATCACATTTTTTTCACAAACTTTGCCAATCATCAAGTTTGGAATTAGGGCCCTAAATATTGAGCGAGTGACAGCACAAGTTAATGCTGTGTAAACTGCATCAACTGGAGAGGCGGAGACTTGTTGTTGAACATTAGCTCAAGGTATCGTCTTCAGATGGTCCTGAGTTTGTAACTGTTGGGGGGTGGGAGACGGGTCTCAGGTTTCCTTAACCGAGGACCTGGCTTAAACTCCAAGAGCAGTTGTCAGCTCGGTTGAAGTTATGTTTAAGCCTGCGTGTTAAATGTACCCTTGAGTCAAGTCTGTGCGAGTTATGCACGTACGTATGTCGAATTTCTTTCGCACCGTACAAGACCAACCATGCTCGTCGGAGGCGCGGAGGTCACGTGACCCTTTTGACTCAACCGAGCGGCAGCGCGTTCGCCGCTCGTTGCGGAGGTTCCACGGTTCGATCCCAGCGGCCGCCCCGGTTAACCCTGTGCGCGTATTTACCGTGAAACTATTATACGTAGCCATTTGCTTCGCCAGAGTGGTGGACGTTAAAGATCCCATGACGTGACTCGCGAGAGTTGGCCGTTGTATGCTGGTGTCATGGTCCAAATAAAAAAAATCACAAATTAGCCCATTGGGATTACACAGAAGCCATGCGCCCCCACCCCCATTGAGCGCTTCACGGCTGATCGGATTTCTAGAGGATGATAAAGATTCTGATTCTAAAGAGTCGCGTGACTGTATACTGGGTGAACAAGGAGGATCATGAATGAACAATAAATCTATCGGTCTAGTCGGCAGTCAGACATTGAGTCAGACACGCGCTTCGTAATCGTTGATGTGAGGGGCAGACGATGTCTCCCCCAACCTCGCCCCAATGCTATCAGCTCAGACAAATCGTGAACTCATTAACTCTGTCACGTACACAAAGAGAGTGGTCCATTCGCGTTCACGATGTCCCTCAGTGCACTGCAGTCTCTCACAGCGTGACGAAATCATCGCAGTGTTCATTTAGACCGTAGGTGAAAACAAAATAAATCTATAAATAATCCATTGAGACCCTCTGGTTTCGTCTCGCACTCACGACTGGTCGCTAGACGGTGATGGTGGGGGAGCGCTAGTGCAGTGGTTAGCGCGAGGTGGACGGCTGTGTGTGAACATGAGTACTGGGGAGACAAAGGCGGCCAGAGTGGGGGGTTCGTCTACCGACCCCCCTCGGCCTTCATAGGCGCCACTCGCTAACGCCACTTGCCCCGCCAGCCCGTCAATGCTATACGGGGAGGGGATCTTTGTCTTTGTGGTCATGCACGCCATGCGTGTGCTGTGTGCGTGGCAATCAACACCCGGACAGACAACCCCCTGCAACCCAGATGGTTCCATCGAGGAATTTTTCTGGTGAAATATTTTTTTGACTTGAAAAAAAAAATGTTGATCCTGCTCAGATGACAATGGCAGCAGGGGGCCCCGATGGCATTTTTATTTTGGGGGGGCTAACACACCTGTATAGGGGTCTGACACACCTGTACAGGGGACTTACACACCTGTACAGGGGGCTTACACACCTGTACAGGGGGCGTCACACCTGTATAGGGTCTTACACACCTGTACAGGAGGCTTACACACCTGTACAGGAGGCTTACACACCTGTACAGGGGTCTTACACACCTGTACAGGGGGCTTACACACCTGTACAGGGGTCTTACACACCTGTGTAGGGGCTTACACACCTATACAGGGGTCTTACACACCTGTACAGGGGGCTTACACACCTGTACAGGGGTCTTACACACCTGTGTAGGGGTCTTACACACCTATACAGGGGTCTTACACACCTGTATAGGGGCGTACACACCTGTACAGGGGGCTTACACACCTGTATAAGGGTCTTATACACCTGTATAGGGGCTTACACACCTGCGTAGGGTCTTACACACCTGTGTAGGGGACTTACACACCTGTACAGGGGTCTTACACACCTGTACAGGGGTCTTACACACCTGTACAGGGGGCTTACACACCTGTATAGGGGCTTACACACCTGTATAGGGGCTTACACACCTGTGTAGGGGCTTACACACCTGCGTAGGGTCTTACACACCTGTGTAGGGGACTTACACACCTGTGTAGGGAACTTACACACCTGTACAGGGGTCTTACACACCTGTACAGGGGTCTTACACACCTGTGTAGGGGCTTACACATCTGTATAGGGGCTTACACACCTGTATAGGGGCTTACACACCTGTACAGGGGGCTTACACACCTGTGTAGGGGCTTACACACCTGTGTAGGGGCTTACACACCTGTATAGGGGCTTACACACCTGTACAGGGGCTTACACACCTGTGTAGGGGACTTACACACCTGTATAGGCCTCGGCAGCCGCCACCTGCAGGCCGTGGTATTTCCCCGCGGTGAACACCTCCCCAGAGTCCAGGCTTACCGCGTCGGCGTGGCCGTCCTGTGCGAGGGAGGGTGGCCGGGCGGTGGCACAAAGAATCAAAGCGACACGACACGATGAGGAGGGTGGTGCTGAGTGCGAGGTTCCCTCCGGGTTCGCGGTGGTAATCGGTGCCAACGGAGGTGGAAACTTCACTCCGCGGAGTGGCTTTGTGCAGTTGTCTGCAACGATGTGGGGGGCTGGGGAACACGGAAAGATGACACTCGAGAGGAGACTCGGGAGGAAGGGATGCAAGGGAAGGGGAGACACACAGGGGATGGGACACACAGGGGATGAGACACACAGGGGATGAGACACACAGGGGATGGGACACACAGGGGGTGGGACACACAGGGGATGAGACACACAGGGGATGAGACACACAGGAGATGAGACACGAGGAGACGCACAGGGGATGAGACACGAGGAGACACGGAGAGAGGGGGCGCGTGTCGGCCCTTGCCTCGATCTTCTGCACGCACTCCTTGCGGTCGCCTGCGCTCACGCACTGCAGCGGCGGCGAGATGCCCGCCCCGGTCAGCGCAATCTTCATGGCGCTGCACTTGTTCTCCTCGCCCGTCGATATGGTGCACCAGCGGAGAGACGCGTGGACGCCTGCACACGCAGGCGAGGATATATACACGGTCAAGGCGAAGGCTCAGACACGCGGGGACAAGATGGGGAGACACAGGCGTGCGTGTTGCTGCTGGTGGTGCTGGTGGTGGTACCGACACCGATGTTCACCGCGAGAAAAAAACTAAATTGCTCAATGTTGAGTTCACTTTGATCGGGGTTGAATCTGCAAACGGTCAGGAATGAAGTAGCAAAATAGAAGTCTCCTTCGCATATTTGTATCTCCGTGAATGTTTCTCTTACACATCGTCATCACCAACATCGGCACCGTCCCCAGGGAGTGCGCACGCAAAAGTTGAGGCACAGTCTGTGTGTGTGAGGTGAGTGTGTGAGGTGAGTGTGAGGTGAGTGTAAGGTGAGTGTGTGTGAGGTGAGTGTGTGAGGTGTGTGTGTGAGGTGTGTGTGTGAGGTGTGTGTGTGAGGTGAGTGTGTGTGAGGTGAGTGTGTGTGAGGTGAGTGTGTGAGGTGATGGTGCAAGTGTTAGGTGAGTGTGTGTGAGGTGAGTGTGAGGTGAGTGTGTGAGGTGAGTGTGTGAAGGTGATGGTGCAAGTGTTAGGTGAGTGTGTGTGAGGTGAGTGTGTGAGGTGTGTGTGTGAGGTGAGTGTGTGAGGTGATGGTGCAAGTGTTAGGTGAGTGTGTGTGAGGTGAGTGTGTGAGGTGAGTGAGGTGTGTGTGTGAGGTGAGTGTGTGAGGTGATGGTGCAAGTATTAGGTGAGTGTGTGTGAGGTGAGTGTGTGAGGTGAGTGTGTGAGGTGAGTGTGTGAGGTGAGTGTGTGAGGTGAGTGTGTGAGGTGAGTGTGTGTGAGGTGTGTGTGTGAGGTGTGTGAAGTGATGGTGCAAGTGTGAGGTGAGTGTGTCAGGTGAGGGTGCGGGTGAGGGTGCGGGATGAGTGTGTGAGGTGAGTGTGTGAGGTGAGTGTGTGAGGTGAGGGTGCGGGGTGAGGGTGCGGGGTGAGGGTGCGGGGTGAGTGTGAGGTGAGTGTGTGAGGTGAGGTTGTGGGGTGAGGGTGCGGGATGAGGGTGTGGGGTGAGTGTGTGAGGTGAGTGTGAGGTGAGTCTGTGAGGTGAGTATGTGAGCTGAGGGTGTGAGGTGAGGTTGCGGGGTGAGGGTGCGGGTTGAGTGTGAGGTGTGTGAGGTGTGTGTGTGAGGTGTGTGAGGTGATGGTGCAAGTGTGAGGTGAGTGTGTGAGGTGAGGGTGCGGGGTGAGGGTGCGGGATGAGGGTGTGGGGTGTGTGTGTGAGGTGAGTGTGTGAGGTGAGTGTGTGAGGTGAGTGTGAGGTGAGTGTGAGGTGAGTGTGTGAGGTGAGGGTTGTGGGGTGAGGGTGTAGGGGGTGAGGTTGTGGGGTGAGGGTTGTGGGGTGAGAGTTGTGGGGTGAGGGTGTGGGGTGAGCGTTGTGGGGTGAGGGTGTGGGGTGAGGGTGCAAGGGGGTGAGGGTTGTGGGGGGAGGGTGCAGGGGGTGAGGGTTGTGGGGTGAGGGTGTGGGGTGAGCGTTGCGGGGTGAGGGTGTGGGGTGAGGGTGCAAGGGGGTGAGGGTTGTGGGGTGAGGGTGCAGGGGGTGAGGGTTGTGGGGTGAGGGTGTGGGGTGAGCGTTGTGGGGTGAGGGTGTCGGGTGAGGGTGCAAGGGGGTGAGGGTGTCGGGTGAGGGTGCAGGGGGTGAGGGTGTGGGGTTAGGGTGCAAGGGGGTGAGGGTTGTGGGTGTGAGGTGAGGGTTGTGGGGCGAGGGTGCAGAGGGTGAGGGTGTGGGGTGAGCGTTGTAGGGTGAGGGTGTGGGGTGAGGGTGCAAGGGGGTTAGGGTTGTGGGGTGAGGGTGTGGGGTGAGCGTTGTAGGGTGAGGGTGTGGGGTGAGGGTGCAAGGGGGTGAGGGTTGTGGGGTGAGGGTGTGGGGTGAGGGTTGTGAGGTGAGGGTTGTGAGGTGAGTGTGTGAGGTGAGGGTTGTGGGGTGAGGGTGCAGGGGGTGAGGGTTGTGGGGTGAGGGTGTGGGGTGAGGGTTGTGAGGTGAGGGTTGTGAGGTGAGTGTGTGAGGTGAGGGTTGTGGGGTGAGGGTGCAGGGGGTGAGGGTTGTGGGGTGAGGGTGTGGGGTCAGGGTGCAGGGGGTGAGGGTTGTGGGGTGAGGGTGCAGGGGGTGAGTGTGTGAGGTGAGGGTTGTGAGGTGAGTGTGTGAGGTGAGGGTTGTGGGGTGAATGTGTGGGGTGAGGGTTGTGGGGTGAGGGTGCAAGGGGGTGAGGGTGCAGGGGGTGAGGGTTGTGGGGTGAGGGTGCAGGGGGTGAGGGTGCAGGGGGTGAGGGTGCAGGGGGTGAGGGTTGTGGGGTGAGGGTGCAAGGGGGTGAGGGTGCAGGGGGTGAGGGTTGTGGGGTGAGGGTGCAGGGGGTGAGGGTGCAGGGGGTGAGGGTGCAGGGGGTGAGGGTGCAAGGGGGTGAGGGTGCAGGGGGTGAGGGTTGTGGGGTGAGGGTGCAGGGGGTGAGGGTGCAGGGGGTGAGGGTGCAGGGGGTGAGGGTTGTGGGGTGAGGGTGCAGGGGGTGAGGGTGCAGGGGGTGAGGGTGCAGGGGGTGAGGGTTGTGGGGTGAGGGTGCAAGGGGGTGAGGGTGCAGGGGGTGAGGGTTGTGGGGTGAGGGTGCAAGGGGGTGAGGGTGCAGGGGGTGAGGGTTGTGGGGTGAGGGTGCAGGGGGTGAGGGTGCAAGGGGGTGAGGGTGCAGGGGGTGAGGGTGCAGGGGGTGAGGGTGCAGGGGGTGAGGGTGCAAGGGGGTGAGGGTGCAGGGGGTGATGGTTGTGGGGTGAGGGTGCAGGGGTGAGGGTGCAGGGGTGAGGGTGCAGGGGGTGAGGGTGCAGGGGGTGAGGGTGCAGGGGGTGAGGGTTGTGGGGTGAGCGGCGAGTCGATGCCCAGCCGTGACCGCAGCTCACGCGGCTACAATTCCCCCCTTCATTGCGGGTTGCCTCAGTGCGACTTGGCGCGATGACAGCGAGACAGCGCGTGAGTGTGTGGGAGTGTTTGTGGGAGTGTTTGTGAGTGTGAGTGAGTGTGTGTGTAAGGGAGAGTGTGTGTGTGTGTGAGGGAAGGAGAGCGTGTGAGTGTGTGCGTGCGTATGGTGCTGGCCACCCACCCCCTCTTGAAGGGGGTGGGCGGTCGGGCGTGGTATCGGCCACCCAACTCCCTCGTGCGCCTGCCGGCTCAATAGCTGCTGGCTAACAGCACAACCATCGACTTGAGCTACACGGGGGGAGGTGTAGGTCCATGATCTTGCATGGGGGTGCCCGTTTGCGCAGTCGCTCTCCACTTGATCTTATCAGCTCACCCGTAGCTCCCGTTAATGATTGCTGTATATAATGAAAGTGGCCATTCTAGCATTACGTAACCCTAAATAATCATTGACAAAATAAATAATCAGACAAATAAATAAGCCTCCGAAGCATTGGTGACCCAAGCCACCCTTGTGCATGAAGCTATCTTGTCTCGTCTTCTTCAGTTCTTAACCGGCTTAAACGAAATCAACTTAATTTGATCTGCCCATCCACGTAAAAATGTTTCTAGTTAAAAGATTCGGAGCACATCCTATCAGCTACACGGGCTTCCGGCAAAACATCGCTGGTAGTTCACGAGCATTGGTTGAAGCAAGCCTCATCCTGCTGATGGTCAACACCATGAGGAGCACCACTTTGTGGCTAAGTCAACAGGAGTGGCTGCGCCCCGCTATAGGAATGTGGAATTACCACCACTGGCTCGAATTACTAGCAGATGAACAATGCCTCGATGTGCAATCGAGCTGTTGCCCTTTTTGACCTGAACTAAAACTAAACTATGAAACTAGTTTTATTTGACCAGGTGAGGCTCACTGAGCTATGTAGCGCTTCTTTCAGAAGCGACCTGGCCACAAATGATCGCTCTAGGAATGTGCAATATTAAAGCAGCAGCCAAATACTCTTAGACGCGTCACGTTGATTCTTAATGTGGAGGGAAAAACTGGAGGACCCGGAGAAAAATCCACGCGACCACGGGGAAGAACACGCAAACTCCAAATATACAACAAGTGTCAGGGTCGGGATCACCAGGCGAGGTAGGTAAAATCTCGTAGCAACCGTGACCTGAAAAAGCAAGCACCACTCGCTCTACAACAAAATTCAAACGTGGACTGCGCTCACTAAAACGTTCATCAGAGGCGCGACAGAGGTACGTCCAAGACACCCCTACTTAGCAAGGGCGCCCAGAGGTCACTCAGGCCAGGATGTCACGAGGGCAGACTGCCCGAATATATTATATATTTATATAAATATATATGAGCAGCAACAACAGCAACACGGGCCCGTGTGGTGGGGCCCTCCTTTGTGTGACGCCCGGGTCCTTGGGCGCCATCAGGCCCCCTGCCAATCTCATCTGAGCAGCATCAACTTTATCTTTAATGTGAACATCCCTCGAGATGAAACCTCCCGGTTGCAAGGGGCTATCCGCCCCGGTGTGTTGATTCACGCGCACACAGCACGCGCATGACGTAAAAACCACAAAGAAAAAGGCCCCCCGTGTAGCTTTAACAGACTGTTGGGGCAAGTGCTGTTCGCGAGTAGCACCAATGAAGGCCCGCACGGCACACGAGGGGATGGGTGGCCATCACCACGCCCGGCCTCCTTTATATCACGAGGGGCGATGTTTACCACACCGCACCAGGTACTCATTTGAGACTGAGTCCACCTAGGGGAGGCCCAGAACCGGTTCAGATAATCCTCACTCGTGTTGGCCGTGAGCGGGAATCGAACTCGATTGGCCGGGTTCGTAGCGCAGTGTGCTCACTGCTACACTACCGCTCCCCACACGTATACACGTAGTGACCACGTATACACACACACACACACATTTTAAATGTATAACTTTACACGGTGTGAATTTATACAATGAACATCACACCCCGGTCAACAGACATGAATAGAAAAACAAACTACTGTATTAAATTATGCTGATCTCCGGTTCATTGAGAATGTGCTCTGGCTGCTGTAGATGTTGTGCGAGTGTTTTTTTATATTAAGGCGTGGTAAGGCCCTCACCATCCAGTGGTGGATTTTAGAAAAGCTGTCCATGGGTTACAGAGTGCCGTGGCATTCTAGGGCTCGTTATAAGGGGCCTGGACGACACTTTATTTAATTAAAATGAAAATAATTTTCCTCTTACCCAAACACCCACTTTTAATAATGCCTCCCTTTCATAGCCCTTCACCTTCCACACCACGTGACATTACAAACTTGCCGCAATTTAGAACAACATTCCCTTCATGGGAACGTGTCAAGGGGCTCTGTGTTGTGGTTGACTGCGATGATGGAAGCAAGAATGTGTGGTTGTTACTCATTGGGTGTTGACTGATGTGAATAACTACTGGATATCTGTGGAAAAAGAGCTTCATAGCCCGTCGGATTCCTTCATTATAAATATTCTGATTCTGACGATTTAAACTATAGACTAGACGATTTTTATTTTACCAGGAAAGGCCCACTGAGCGAAATAGCCTTTCAGAAGCTACCTGACCACAAATGATAGCTAAACGAAGTGGCTTATCACGTGGAAATTTATAGCAGACAAATACTCTAAACGCATGTTTCCAAATGTGGAGGGGGAAATCAGAGGACCCGGAGAAAAATCCACGCGGCCACGGAGAGAACATGTAAATTCTAATTTTACAGGTATCAGGGTCGGGATTGAACCCACGGCCCCCTGCATACCAGGCGAGGTAGTTAACATTTCTCCACCGTGATACCCCTGGGCATGTGATTTTTAGGTAGAGATGTGTGCCTGAGAGTAACTAAAATAACTTGACGATCTTCCCCTTCTTCTTGGTTCTTTCGGTAAAGTCACGTAGAAGGGAAGTAATAAAAAAACCATAATAAAATAAAATAATTCTCACGACGTTTCGGCTACAACGCAAGCAGCCGTCTTCAGGTGAAGAATGAGACACTGCCAAGCTAGGAGCTTATATATAAGCTGGGTTGGAGGTGGAAGAAGAGCGCCTTAACAAAAAGAATGTGCATATCAAGAGGAATTTAGCATATTCATGGGAAATGCGTAGGAGGTGGGCGGGGGGGTTTCAAAGTCATATTATGCCCATGCATTATGCAGGATCACCAGCACCAAGGGAGGGTGCAGGGAGTAGCAGTAACAAAGGAAAGGAATGTTAATAGTATGTAGCTGCAGTTACTAAACAACCACGTAAAAAACTAAAGTATAAACTGCATAGCACCATCAGTATACTTACTATACTCTACAATAAGCTGAGTTACTAACAGCAAGTAATACATTACAATTCTACGTCGTAAAAATTATATAATATGCTTCTATCTAAACTTTATTCTCTTACCACCCTATACCTTATACATTTTAATATATGGGTAGAATAATACATAGTGTTATATTAAAATGTATAAGGTATAGGGTGGTTTATAGCAATACAGTATATAATTTAATGTTGGGTTTATCTATGGCAGTATATAGTACGGTGTATGCTCGTGTGATGTAAGAGAATAAAGTTTAGATGGAAGCATATTATATAATGTTTACGACGTAGAATTGTAATGTATTACTTGCTGTTAGTAACTCAGCTTATTGTAGAGTATAGTAAGTATACTGATGGTGCTATGCAGTTTATACTTTAGTTTTTTTACGTAGTTTATACTTTAGTTTTTTACGTGGTTGTTTAGTAACTGCAGCTACATACTATTAACATTCCTTTCCTTTGTTACTGCTACTCCCTGCACCCTCCCTTGGTGCTGGTGATCCTGCATAATGCATGGGCATAATATGACTTTGAACCCCCCCCCGCCCACCTCCTACGCATTTCCCATGAATATGCTAAATTCCTCTTGATATGCACATTCTTTTTGTTAAGGCGCTCTTCTTCCACCTCCAACCCAGCTTATATATAAGCTCCTAGCTTGGCAGTGTCTCATTCTTCACCTAAAGACGGCTGCTTGCGTTGTAGCCGAAACGTCGTGAGAATTATTTTATTTTATTATGTTTTTTTCTACGTGACTTTACCGAAAGAACCAAGAAGATGAATCCCTGCAGTCACGAACGCTTTAAATCGAGATCTTCCCCTTCCTTGCCACCACACGTCTCCCAGCAGTACTGGCTCAACAGCAGAAAAAACTCTGGACCGATTTAGACAATCAGTATCTCATCAGCAGAGGCAGACTTGGTTAAAGCAGCAGTGGTGGTGGCGGCACACTGCGAGATGTGAGGAGGCAAGGCGCCTCTGTGAGATATCGGTGCCAGTTCGACACAAAGCTAGAAAATGCAAAACACATCATTGGCATGTACGGAGTGAATATTTGGTGAGTGACAGGCATGCATTTATATTTGCATCAGTTTAAACAATATGTATGCATCATATATGCCAACGAATGTGCGTATTAACACTTTTTGCTCATTATTTTCAACATAACATGCAAATGTGATCACACTACATCGGGAGCCTGACGACATAGGTTTAAGTTTCCGGATGCAGCAAACATCAGTGGCAGAGTGATGTCTGAGGACAGGTCCTCGGGAAACTGCTCTTTCACTGAAACCGACCAGCGTATTTAAGGCAGAAACAGGATTTCTCCACAATTCCGGCTGTCGCCTGACGAAGCTGGTTGTAATTTACCACTGAAACCTCAAAGTGTTCGAATTGTAAATGTTGTTGTGGGTTTGCTGTCCAACACACAACCGGTGTGTGCTGAACTAGTAACGACTTGGCACGTTTTGTTTACGTCACAAACCTTACTAATTGGCTATGTCAGGTGGTGGCAGGTTTAACGATCTAACCCAAAATACCTCTGTTCTGGATATTGGTCGTGAAAGCCTCCTTCGTGTTAAACAGCGTCGTGAGGTAGAGCCAGACAATGTCCAGGACTGGCACAAAGTTGAGGCCTTGGATTAAGAAAGGCCTGTAAATCATTATCACTATCGCATAACTGTCCTGTAGACGATTGACTGGACATGTGTTGTTACTGGCAAACACAACATGCAAGCCAAATGGAAAATCAATGAGAAGCAGAAAGAAGACACAATTAAATCGAACCACGACCGCCAAATCGTGACAATTTGCCAATTGCTGGGGGACGGGGGAGGTGAGCGGTGGCGTGCTCACTGCTCATTGCAGACGTTCGCGGTTACACCCCAGAGGCCACCCTGGTAAACACTGCGGGTGTACAAACCGAAAATACGCACGCACCGGCTTCTTCGCTGTGAACGTGAGACATCCCGTGACGTTGTTCGGCAAAGAGTAAGTAGACCATTGTGTGCCAGCACCACATTCTGGACATGTCAATTGATGGTGCGTGTGGTGCATTTTTATAGAGTATGTGGTGCATCAGGGTGGTGCGTGTGGCACATTGGTATGGAGTGTGTGGTTCATTGGTATGGAGTGTCTGCATGTGGTCAATTGGTATGGAGTGTGGTCCATCAGGGTGATGTGTACGGTGCATCAAGATGGTGTGTGTGGCGTATTGGTATGGAGTGTCTGCATGTGGTCAATTGGTATGGTGTGTCTGCTTGTGGCGTATTAGTATTGAGTGTCTGCGTGTGGCACATTGGTATGGAGTGTCTGCGTGTGGCACATTGGTATGGTGTGTCTGCGTGTGGCCCATTGGTATGGTGTGTCTGCGTGTGGCACATTGGTATGGTGTGTCTGCGTGTGGCACATTGGTATGGTGTGTCTGCGTGTGGCACATTGGTATGGTGTGTCTGCGTGTGGTCAATTTGTATGGAGTGTCTGCGTGTGGCACATTGGTATGGAGTGTCTGCGTGTGGCACATTGGTATGGTGTGTCTGCGTGTGGCACATTGGTATGGTGTGTCTGCGTGTGGTCAATTTGTATGGAGTGTCTGCGTGTGGCACATTGGTATGGTGTGTCTGCGTGTGGCACATTGGTATGGGGTGTCTGCGTGTGGTCAATTGGTATGGAGTGTCTGCGTGTGGCACATTGGTATGGTGTGTCTGCGTGTGGTCAATTTGTATGGAGTGTCTGCGTGTGGCGCATTGGTATGGAGTGTCTGCGTGTGGCACATTGGTATGGAGTGTCTGCGTGTGGCACATTGGTATGGTGTGTCTGCGTGTGGCACATTGGTATGGTGTGTCTGCGTGTGGTCAATTGGTATGGAGTGTCTGCGTGTGGCACATTGGTATGGTGTGTCTGCGTGTGGTCAATTGGTATGGAGTGTCTGCGTGTGGCACATTGGTATGGTGTGTCTGCGTGTGGCACATTGGTATGGTGTGTCTGCGTCTGGTCAATTGGTATGGAGTGTCTGCGTGTGGCACATTGGTATGGTGTGTCTGCGTGTGGTCAATTGGTATGGAGTGTCTGCGTGTGGCACATTGGCATGGAGTGTCTGTGTGTGGTCAGTTGGTATGGAGTGTCTGCGTGTGGCACATTGGTATGGAGTGTCTGCGTGTGGTCAATTGGTATGGAGTGTCTGCGTGTGGCACATTGGTATGGTGTGTCTGCGTGTGGTCAATTGGTATGGAGTGTCTGCGTGTGACACATTGGTATGGAGTGTCTGCGTGTGGTCAATTGGTATGGTGTGTGGTGCATCGGGAGACCTCGGGGAGGATCAGGTTCCCACGTGGCATCTCGCATCTCCTACCTGCAGTCCCCTGCAGCACGCTCAGCAGCGCCAGCGCGCAGAGAAGAAGCGGCACAGCAGACGCCAGGCTCATCGTGGCCGAGGCCATCTCCAAACGCCCTGCACTTGAAAAGTCAACTTGCGGGACGAAGCAAACAAAACACGCAATGAAACACGAGAGAGACAGGGGGAGTGAGAGGGGTTTTAGGGAAGAATTTGGGAGAGATGGAGAGACGCGGGGAGAGAGACGGGGAGAGGTGGAGAGAGACAGGGTGTGGGAGCGTGCGAGGTGGAGAGAGACACGGGGAGAGAGTGCGTGAGAGATGGCGAGACACGGGGTGTGGGAGCGAGGAAGAGGCACGGGGTGTGGGAGCGTGAGAGGTGGAGAGAGACACGGGGAGAGAGTGCGTGAGAGATGGAGAGACACGGGGTGTGGGAGCGAGGAAGAGGCACGGGGTGTGGGAGCGTGAGAGGTGGAGAGAGACACGGGGAGAGAGTGCGTGAGAGATGGAGAGACACGGGGTGTAGGAGCGAGGAAGAGAAGTGGAGCACGTCGGAATGCGCCGCGGAGGGGTGAACAGGAGCCTGCAGCCAGGTCACTCCGTTTTTAAAGGCGTCCCTGTGCTCACCGATGGCTGGTGAGGAGGGGGGTGAGGGTGGGGGGGCAATGTGTGCCCACTCACGCAACTCCCCCCCCCCCCACTCTCCCAAGACCCTTCCCGCACCGAGCTGAAGGGTTCGGGTGCTGAGGCAGCAGGCAAAGTCTCGTGACTGCACCCGCCCAAGTGGTGGCGGCATGGACGGCCGAGGCGAGAGTGTGGGTTTTATGCTCCCTTTCATCGGGCTGCAGTTTAAAGAGCTCCCAATGTGGGTAAATATTCTCTCTATGACTCGCGTCTCGTTAGGGATTACACTTTGCTTTGTGTCACCTGCAGAACTGCAAAGCGGCGGCGGCGGCAGCTGTAAAAATATGACAAAGGGGAATGGGCGAAGGGTTGAAGTGACCGGCTGGGTGGCTCACGCGGTCAGAGCTCTGAGTTCGAACCCAGCTGTGATGATGACGGGTCCTCAATTGTCGTGAATCGGTGGCATGCGCCCAAAAATGCGGTTGTACTTTTAGTTCAAAGTTACGTCTGAGAAAATCTTAAAAACAAATCTGGGGTTAGCTCACGCGACTAAGACCCGGAGTAAAATCCATGAGGCCACGAGGCGAACATGCAAATTCCAACTTTACAGGGTCGGGATCGAACCCACGACCTGCTGCTTGAGTCCCTGCCAGGCGAGGCAGTGAACATTTCGCCACCGTGGTGTCCCTGCGATGCGATGTTCAGGTAGAGATGCGTGCCTTCGAGTAGCTCTGTGATATCCACTTCTGTGGGGACGTTCTTATAACGCGACGGAGTTGCGTCTGCTGGAGGTGAAATGTGAACCTTCCGTCTCGCTACAGGACGCCCCCCGCAGGACAATCGCAGTAAACATGGTGGGGGAAACGACAGTCATAACACGGATTAAAGAATCACAATCAACTTAGTTGTATAAAGTGCATTTAAAAACGAGTGACCAGGTAAAACACACGCGCACATTGAGAAAGACAATGACATGTGGAAAGGTCCGCTTGAAACAAAAGCTTGCCGAGTGTCTCGTGCACAGCAGTGACACTCGGACCCTCCCGGGACTGGGGGTCTCCGCGTTCAAGCCGCGGGTGGCAGAGCGCGCTCCGCCCACACGACCACATTGCCACACACACACAGGGACAGCACGAGGGAGGAAACTTACGTCTTGAGCAACTTCCTCGTCTCATTTGCTTAATTTAAATTCGTGATTTTATTACACTGCTGTACTCGTCTTGCTTCACGTAAACAGAATTAATTGTTGGCAAACACCACAACAACATCAACAACATCAACAACATCAACAACACGGCAACTCTCACCAACATACCCCACACCCTCCCCCGGAGCCGCGACCCAGCAGGAACGGAGACCACTTCCAAAGTTCGGGTCTCTGCAAAATAATCAGGAATATGTCTGTACTGTCCGCAGCATTTCCCAAGTTAAACACAACGTCTGGTGCCGCAGCCGTGTTGGCAGTGGTGCACAACTCAAACAACAATCGCCTCGACACGCGCGTCAATAACGCACCGTGTGAGTGCGCGTGGCCTCGATGGAGGAGGTTCGTGAAGGACGCTACTGGGCAGGTGGAGGCAGTCGCCCCCAACAACAACGGAGGGCGGAGGAGTGGTGCTCACAACAACGAGCGGAGCGTCGGGTCGGATAAAATAGCAGAGTAGGGGGCACAGGTGGTGCATCTGCCAGTCATCTCAGTCAACCCATGTCACCTGCTGGGTCTGTCCCGTGACCTCCTGCGAGCAGTTCACTTCACGTGGCCTCAAAGTGCACCTGGCCTGGCACAGGTGACGTGGTGATGTATGACGTTTGTTGTTTTTTGAATAGGGTGGTCCAGATGTTTTGTGACCGCCAATTCATTGACACCTAAAAGTGTTTTCTTTAAATGTTCACTTCTGTTTCAAATAAACCTTACTTCCAAAAATATGACATTTTAGATAATTAAATTGGGGTCATAAAGACATCTGAACCACGATGTAGAGCAGTGTTCCTCACTAATTTTCAGAGGGGGCCACTTTCACTGAACAGACATCACCAGTGTGAGGGCCGCCGCATCTTTGACACCATTGGGGTTTGACAGCAGCACGATGATGGGGGTTGTTTTCACATTTGTGTATAGAGACCCATAGATTATATCGAGACTCATAGATTATATTGAGACCCAAAGAGTTATATAGAGACTCATAGATTACATAGAAACCCATAGTTATAGACTCATAGATTAGAGTCTCATAGACCCATAGATTACATAAAGACCTATATAGTTATACGGAGACCCATAGGTTGCCTAGATACCCATATATTACAGAGGTCCATAGACGTATATAGATACCCATAAAGTAACAAAGAGACTCACAGACTAAGACTCTATTATCTCAGCTGGTGAGGCCCCATTGAGCCAAGCAACTCTCTCACAATGATGGCCGCAACCCAAGAGAGTTGGCGGTGGCGGCAACTACAGCACCTGCCAGAGGTCTGCCCGATCATGTGAATAACGAGCCGACGTATAAACCTTTATGAGCCACGAGCCCTCTCTCTCGTGGTTCAACTCGATTATACAATCTCAGCATTCTCTCTTGTTATCTTTGCACGTAACCTGACAGACGGCTGTCACGTGCGACATCTGTCAGGTTACAGTTTAGAGCAAACTTCACAGTTTATAGCCAACTTAAGAGTTCAGAGCAAACCTTCTAGATTCTCTAGCGACCCTCTGATATTGTGTCAGCTACTTGGGCGTTGTGCGCCCGACAGAGCTGACGACGTCATCCCAGCCCATGAAGGCGGTGCCCATCAAGGTGGTGCACTGATGTCTGCTGGTGAGTGCGGGCAATGTGCTAACTAGTCTACCGCAAGCACACCGCTGGTGTTGTCCTTCCCCGCACCTCCGATTAGCGCGGTTGGCTACGTACGGTGCAAAAGTTCAACACAGTACAGTCTCGGAAAACGCCAATCTCATTTCAATTAGAAGTTTCAAGTCCACTTTGTTTAATCAGCTCAGAACTCAATAGATGAAGATCGTCTCATTCTTAAGAATGACTTGGTACACTCAGATCGTGACACAGCCCCGCAGCTGCCTGTCATGCAATGGTCACCCATCCAAGCAGGCGACAGGCTCAAAGCCTGCTTAGCTTTTGAGACTTGATGAGATCGGGTGCATTCTGGGCGATTTTGTCATAGGTCTCTGGCATAGTGTGTGGATAAAATTGTAGATCATCACTTCCCACACACACACACAATTCAATGCCTGTATCGTGAGCAGAATAATCGATTTCAATCCATGAATGGATGCAGTGTTGCCTGCCTGGTATCAGCATCGCTATGCATTAACCCACACACGCCCATCAATCCCGTTTGTTAATCCCAATTCATTATTTACAATACTTGTGTGTACTCATGACTATTGACATAATGATGCAACAAAAATGTTTTTAACTCCCTCCCTTTCTTTGGGTGTTGAAACTCCACACCGTGGGTCGCCAGGAGAATGCAGAACAACAAATGTGGACTCCGCCGGTCCCCACCCGAGTTGTCCCCCACACACCCGCGTCGGTTTTCTCCGGGTGCTGCGGGTTCCTCCCACCTGTGAACAAGCATCAATCGACCGATACTGTCACATCTTCATATATGTAGTGACATGGAATGGGTCACCACGGAGCATAGCGTGGGTTGCTGGCAGAAAAAGGGATCTGCAGCAGCCCTGTCTGTCAGCAGGTCACGTGATAAGCAGAGGGAGGGATGCAGGGCAAAGGTGACAGAGGGGCCACGTGAGGCGAGCCCGGGAGCCCGCGAGAAGGTTCTAGAAAGGGGGCGTGGCCGTGGGCGGAGCGAGGCCACGCCGGGAGGATAAAAGGGGAGCCCGAGGGAAGGCTCGGGGCTGTCACTGTGAGTGGGATCCCGTCGGGCTGCTGGAGTCTTCGTCTGCGTCTTCACCTTCTCGGCGTCGTCAGTGAGGCAGTCTGCCAGCTGTCCTGACTGGAGTGTAGTTACCCCTTGTACCCTGTGAAGGCGGTAATAAATAGAGTGCCTCCTACTCCTAGTGTCTCTGAGTGTATCACTACACATACGTAGTGAATCACTTCAGAGACACGAGTAGTAGGAGGCACTCTCTTTATTGCAGCCTTCACAGGCACAGGGAATAGCTACACTTCGGTCAGGACAGCAATAGGCTGCCTGACCAACAACGCTGAAGACGTGAAGACGATGACACAGACGGTGACGAAGATTCTTGTAGCCCCACAGGTTCCACTCCCAACAACAGCTGCGAGTCTTGGTCGGGGTCTCCCTTCTATCCACTCAGCGTGGCCTCGCTCCACCCCCGGCCCCGCCCCCTTCTTCTAGAACCTACTAGAAGGTTCCCGGGCTTCACCTCGCGTGGCCCCTCAATCGCCTTTGCCCCACATCCCTCTCTCCGGCCCATCACGTGACCTGCTGGCAGGCAGGGCTACTACAGCAGCAGATCCCCTTCTTTGCCAGCAACCAGCGCTACGCACCATCGTGACCCATTCCATGTCACTACATAGAGATGACCGCAGACCTTTGGGGGGAGGGGGGGAGATTTTGCGGGGGCTCATCGCGTGGCTGCCGCCTATCCCGCCTTCTCTGTGCTTCCTCCGCGGTCTCTGGATCGTCCTCTCTCTGCAAGAGGGAGTGAGCGAGAGCGACGGTGGCGCACGGTTATAAGTTGAAATGATCGTTTTTATGAAAAATTACTTCCAATGAAACCCACCAGCCGAAAATTGGATGATTTGCATTTGGCAGAGCAAAGATGACATTCCTTCCGAACGCCCAGGCTTGGCTGACAGACCAAACAGACTAGTCTGGCACATCGCACACATATTTGCATTGGTATTATGACTGTGGGGGAGGGGATGAGGTCACGTGTTTACACTGGGCTTAGGCCCAATCTGCCAAAATAGACCCTGCCAGTGGTGGGGTGGTGAGCGGCGCACCGGACTTGCGCCGCTCAGGTCGCCCGGCAGTTGACACGACGGCACACGTTTGTTAAATCCGCCTGCCGCCATCCACCCAGCGGCATGATTGGACACTCCACAGTTAATAGATTGGCAGGTCGTGGGTAGAAGAGTAGACCAAATACACTCTGGAGCCCCTTCCAGTGGATGTTCTTCCGCCAGCAGTGGTGGCAGAATGCAATTGCAGGGCTGCACTTTTGCCTTTTGCACACGCGCAGTATTTACCAGGGCGGCCTGTTAGATTCACAACTCCGTGGTGGGCTCCGTGGTGGGCTCCGTGGTGGGCTCCGTGGTGGGCTCCGTGGTGGGCTCCGTGGTGGGCTCCGTGGTGGGCTCCGTGGTGGGCTCCGGATTGCTGAGCTTGCAGCACCGGCAGCGGAGGCGGCGGGGAGCACGCGAGGCGGCAGGTGACTGAGGTGAGGACCCAGGCATTGCAGTGTCATAACGGATGAGCCCACACTCTTGGTCATTTACTGGAGGTCAGTGGCAGGTCAAGGCAGCCAGGTCAATGCCTGCTGTATATTTGGAGTTTGCGTCTCTCTCTCTCTCTCCCCGTGGTCGCATGGATTTTTCTCCGTGACCTCTGTTTTTAGCTTCCACATTTAAAACCGATGTGCGTTTAGAGTATTTGGCTGCTATAAATTTCCACGTGATAAGCCACTTCTTTGATCTATCATTTGTGGCCAGGTCACTTCTGTAAAATAGCTATATAGCTCAGTGGGCCTTACCTGGTAGAATAAAAGTCTAGTTATACTGCCTGTCCGCTCACCATACTAAGGCGGTAATGACTAACGTTAAAAAGTGCTGTCGCAGTTGACGATGTCTCCTACACACATACATCTCTCCACACGAAAGACAAATATTTTGTAAACGACCCGTCAGCCGTACGGCCTTCTGGGGAGTGTTTAACTTCAGCAGCATTGGTTAAAGACGAGCAAAACTCTGGACCGCTTTCGACACTGTTATTGGGTTGTCTAATAAATATTACGTCTTATGTGGAGACACGGGTATGTGAATGAGACGGATTATCTGCGCATCTATTTTATATTCTCTAAAACGATGCTCGTGATTATTTGTAGCCTGTTCTCATAACCCGGTAGTTGTTGCGCTCCTAAAGAACACCGCATTGTGGAAAAAATCGCGTTATAATAAAAAATAAGCAATATAGGGTAAAGCACAGTCCATGATATCACGTGAGATGCGTACACAGGCCGAACAAAGACTGAGATGCGTGGATAGCGTCCAGGAGTATCCAGCAGCATCCCGCCTTGTCTGATGATACACTAAGGCAGCCGCACAACTGCTTATTCCTACTCGCAAGTCGTAGTCCCATTCCCTCAATCGCATTACATTCAATCCGCATCCGCATTATAAAAAATAATAGGTAAAAACAAGCTTTTCAATGCACTCACACTTATTTGCACTCTAAAGTACAACAATTATTTAACCCCAGAATTAATCACATTTGATGTGCTGATAAAAGTGGGTGGCTTCCTTTCGATATGTTTAATTTTCTTTATGCAAGCCATCCACTTTTATCCAGCATATCAAATGTGATTAATTCTAGGGTAAAAATAATTTATTTTGTAATTTAGAGTGCAACTAAAAGTGTGTGCATTGCAAAGTTTGGGTTTTACCCATTTTATGACCCTGTAGAGATGACAATGATGATTTTGCTTATGTCAACCCTTGTCCATACAATAAATGAAAGCATGCGCATTGCTCCAAAAACAGTCTACGTAAAAGTCAATGGCACGCATTACGACTATTACAGTTAGGATAACGATCATGCCGTTTGCAAAGTCGTAAATTACATTTAGAACAGCACGATACGTGTAAGGCATTTAACTGTATGTGTAGTGAGTGACTTCCGAGACACGTCGAATAGAAGGCTTCTTATTTATTAAGAGCACACTGGGCGATACATTGTGTAACGCAGCTACACATAGGCGATCCTAACACGTAGCCCCATCTCCGGCTTCGCTGCGCCAGCTGTTCAACCACCAGCGCAGAGATGGAGAGAGTCTTCCAGAAGATCAGCCACGTGGTCGGAGACGAAGAGATGACGACGAGCAGCGACGCAGCCAGGACCCAGGACCCGCACCGAACCTCTGGTTCCTCTGGTTCGGTCCCCCTGATCTCTGCCCCGGCGTGGCCAACTCCTTCTCTGGCCACACCCCTTTCCAGAACCTTCAGCTGGTTCCCGGAGCTTCTCGACTGACTCCGCCTTTCACCTTTACCCCAGATACGCCCCCCTTATAATAAGGCATTAGGCAATGCAGCCATGACCGTAATTACCACTCCAGGCCAACAGGTGTCACCCTGTCATTACATATGTAAAGACGGCAAGACACATACAGACTGCAATGCTATAACAATACGCGCATATTAACAGTGCATATCGCAGGCCGTATTCAATGTGCACAGATCTAGCACTGTAATTTAAAGCGCTTATATCAAAATCATAATTATAATTTTTTAAAATCAAAATAGGGATAACATTACCGTATTTAATTCTAAAACATGATCACCTGCTCGCTCAACTTGAGCATAACCATGTTGCCCTCCGCGCGTCGGAACAGGCGTGGCAAACCAAACGACAATACTATTTATTACGATTATAACTATGCAATTATTACATCAATAATAGTAATTTAAATTATAATTCTTGGTCTCGCGCTAGAGAGAACCAAAGTGGTTGCTCCGGCGCCATGACGAGCGGCGATGTTTGCGCGCCTCTCATTGGTCAAAAGGCTCCCCAAACTGCAGGCGCTCTGATTGAAGGAGACGTTTGCTGGGCGCGACCATTCGAGATTTCAAAGGGGGGGGGGGTAAAATGAGCGAGGATGAATTATGAACATTTTGTAAAAAAAGTATTATACAAATGTAGTCAACAACACAAATAGGCCAGGATCGGCGGGACCTGCACCGTCTCTTTTTTTTAACGAAATCTTGAATTGTCCCGCGAGACGAGTCTGTGTTGAAAATGTCAGCTCGTTAGTCTTCGTAAATCCTAAGATAGTAATATGAAATATTTCAAAGATTACAAACAGACACACGGCAAGTTCAATAAATGTGTCACAATAAAAATGTGTCCCCTCATACCTCATCGCGTTATAGCCAATTTGTGTTTTGAAAACACGCAGCGTTGTAGGAGAACAGACCGCAGTTGCATATATACACCTGGGCTGCGTATCCCTGTTGATAAGATCTTGGGGCTCTGTTAATAAGTAATTCCGACTGTAGTGGCATGCCAATTACAACTCACTGATGTCACGTTTAAAGCTATGGCAGCAATCCTGAAGGGCACTTTGAAGTGTTTTACACGCTTTTATTTAACTCACTCTGTCTGTTGTTGTCGTTGTTGTTGTATCCTCAAATCTTGTAACTCAATTTTAACCCATTTACCAATGTGGAATCAACTGCAAACTTGGTATACGTATGTCATACTGAGGACAATACTATATTCTATCATAAAAAATAAAAACATCTATTTTAAACATTAATTTTTATATGTTATGTTTCGTCTTGGGTCTAATTGTCCAAGGTCAACTAACGTTGGCTGCAATTGGCCACGGTCCCTTACGTCGTGGCAAGCTTCGGGGCCACTTGCCGGAGTCATGGAGTTCTGCCATTACGAGTACATTTCATAAAAGCGTGTTTTTTAAAACGATTTTTTTTAATATTACTTATTTGTTATTAACCAGGATATAAATCTTCATCTTACTGCCAGGGCCAAATTAAGGTTATTGTAGGCCTTTAGTGATAACTGTCTCCATCTCGGTACTGCTGCTGCTGCCCATGTCACTACTGCCACCGCTCTCACTCGCGAAAGCTGACAAAATGTTGTGGATTCTTTTTCCAACACACCGGTGTGCTGTACTAGTAACACATTGGCACGTTCTTTTTACGTGACAGACCTTACTAATTGGCTGTCGGGTGGTGTCGGGTTTAACAAATTGATATTCAAGCGATCAAAACCCAAAAACCTATATTATGGATATTGGTCCAGGAAAGTCTACGTGTTAATGACAAAAACTGTCTCCGATAAACCATAGGAGAACAACGCATCGTCTTACCTTGCACTACTCTCTATTGATAATTATATTGTGTGGAAAAACACCATTTGACGATGTTATTGCTAATTTTGCAGTAAAAACATCTCCAAAGTTCATCTCCGGTGTCAATTTCTCTCTCACAATGAAGAATAAAACATTGACATGACTCTGCCTCTCTCTATACACTGTTGCCTAGCCTACTTGTGCTATATACATGTATTTATTCAAGACGGTACGTTTGTTAAATTTTGCATCATACAAACAAAAAAATGGCAAAAAAATGGTAGGGCCTTCAACTGTTCGTAGGCCCTAGGCACAGTGTCTACTGTGGCCTGTTGGATAATACGGCTCTGCTTCCTGCAGCCTGGGACACAGCACGGCACGGCACGGCTACAAGAGAGACGCCGTTACTCAGGTTGTGCGTTCCTGGAGGCGACTTGGTAATGGTGGTGCTGTGAATCATCACTCATCACAACACAGTCTTGGATTCAGGCCAAGGCAATCATTCAGACAGGAGGCCCAAAAGCCTCAGGCCCGGAGGCCAGTGCTGAGCTTACACCCCTGAGATTCTCGGTTCGAATCCAGGCGGCCGTCTGTGATCAAACCGGGTTCTCAGGTGTAATTGTCGATCTCAGCCCGACGACCAATGACTGCGCTCAATTGTCCTGCACTTAATTTGATTAAACGAGCACTGATAGTTAAATATCGATTTGCTTTCCATGCAACAACATCACAACTAATCCATAATAACTCATATGGCAGAGTGCGTGGGGAAGTGCTTCCCTCTACTGTGCGTGTGGGGTCTCAAAGGTTGCTCTGTGATATCCACTTCCTTGTGCTGTTCTCCAACACGTTGGCTTTCAACTGCTCTATAAATTTCGGAATAAAACAAAAACACACAAGCCGCGCAGAAAAACTAAGAAATTGGACACTGGAGCACAGGTAGTTTAGTTCATATTTGTATTTTGCATTCAATCGCTTTAATTTACTTTTCACTTTGCAGTAATTGCACACAGGCTATGTTTCCATTGCAATTGATTATCTGATTAATGTATCAAGGTAAACAAAAGCACGTGGAAAGTGCAATAACATACCAGTGATAGGCTGTCGACACATATATTTGGGATGAATTTCTGATTTTCTTTCGCCTGACTTTGGCTTTTGCTTCGTATATCCAGATGAAAATGCATCATATTTTAATAACATGTAGTTGTATACACAAAATATAACCATGTTGACAATTTTAAATATGAACAGTTGAATTTTATTAAGTAAAGCAATAATTCGAATGCCATATTGTTTTAGGTTTTTAACAATTTAAGCAAACGTGACGTCAAGTATAATCAAAATGGCGTCTCTTTAGGCAGCAAACTCTGTGACATATTTCAGAACAATCCGAAACATCTTTTCGGATCATCCAAAATGTGGAATGTGGCCACAATATTATGATGTTTTTATTCATCTAAAAATCAGAGAATGCAATGGAGACATTGCGATTAGCTGATTAGATGCGTGCGGGACAGGGGTCTGTGGGTCGGCCAACAGGAGGTGAGGGGGGGGGGACAAAACGACCGCGATATAACCCCAGCGAACACGTTCATTCATGAACAAGAGTCGGAGACGGACGCATGGCCACAGTGGTAACCCACAACAATACGACGCATTCATTAATAACCCCAAATCTAACACACCATCGACTTAACCCCAGAGTCTAACTCGGACACCTTAACACGCAGTCGTACACAGATGCCTAACCCAGAGTTTAAACACAGTAAGACAAAACCTTACAGCCAAACACACATACATTAAAAAACGTAGCAGACTAAATCGATCTGCTTAACCCAGTGTTTAACGCGAGTTATTTTAACCGACCGCCAGAAAACACGCAGCCATGTTCAGCCAGAATCTAATAATCATCTTAAATGAGTTGTCCAAGTTATTCATCTTAACAGAGACGGACATAGCTGTTAAAACCAAGAGTCGAAAGCAGTCATCTTAACGGTGTTATATAGTATTTTAAACCAGAACCTGACATATTTATTGATCCTTAAGAGTCTTATACAATATGGTCCTTTCACCCAGTCAGACACAATCATCTTGACGCAGAGCCTAGCTTGGTCACCTAACCCAGAGCGCCCTGACGCGGTCGTCTTGCGGTGTAAACAGAAAAGCTGCACCAAATTACATCGAACGATAGACACGCAGGCCCTCTGTGCGTTGATACAGCGCAACGATTCAGGTCACCTTATGAACAGGACTGATAATATCGGTCTCATTTGCAACGTCCCACACTGTCTGATTTGCACCGTTTCATCTGTACGGTCACCGTCTCCTTTGCGTTTTCCTCAATGGGTCTTGTCTTGTGTTTGCTGTCTTGTTTGTACTCCCATCTCTGTGTCGTCTGATCTGTTCCATCTCCTTTGTGTTGTCTGATCTGATTCCGAGGTGATGGTATGACGTGGCGGGTGAGAGGTAAGTGGTATGAGGCGGCAGGTGATAGGTGAGCGGTACGTGGTGGTGGGTGAGGGGTGAGAGGTGAGCGGTAGGAGGTGGTGGGTGAGGGGTGAGAAGTGAGCGGTAGGAGGTGGTGGGTGAGGGATGAGAGGTGAGCGGTAGGAGGTGGTGGGTGAGGGGTGGCAGGTGAGCGGTAGGAGGTGGTGGGTGAGGGGTGGCAGGTGAGCGGTAAGAGGTGGTGGGTGAGGGGTGAGCGGTAGGAGGTGGTGGGTGAGGGGTGAGAGGTGAGCGGTAGAAGGTGGCGGTTGTCCTAGAGGTGCTCGTCGAGCCAGGCTATGTACATGTCCACGGTGCGCACGCCGATGTCGAAGTGCAGCAGGGGCTGCTGCACGAGCGAGAAGACGCCGTGGAAGCCGTCCCCCAGGTGCTGGTGCTGCACGGGGACCCCCAGGGGGCCCAGACGCGCCACCAGCAGGGCGCCGTCGTCGCGCAGCACGTCGTGCTCGCACGTCACCACGTATGTGAGCGGCAGCATGCGCAGCCAATCGTCGTCTACGATGGGGGGGAGGGGGGGGACGATGGGGGGGAAGGACGGGCGGGCGGGCAGTGGGGGGGGGGGGGCGAGGGTAGTGAGGGGGGGTCGGGTGACACGCGGCTCGACCGCTCGAACCTGGCAATGCGAATGCGGCTCAACCACCGGACGCCGTGGCGAGGACAACTCAATGTCACGACGCAACCGCTCGGCCGCACGAGCCGAGCGCTCGGAGTCACTCACCGTCTATGGCGCTCGGCCTCGCAATGCAACCGCGTCAGAAATGAGAAGGAGATGGATGTGGGGTGCACCCGGAGGTGGGAAACCGAGAGGGCAGGCCCAGAAAGAGGTTCAAGGTGTTCCAGTTGTATCTTGTTAGACGAGTTGAGAACCTGGAGGTGGTTCGTAGTGGTGAGCCGGGCCTGAGGGGCCATGGAGCGGACGTGGAGACGTCGAGTGGGGAGAGAGGAGCGGGAAGGCAGCGGGCGTCACACACACACACACCCGTTGGGGGATGGCCGGGAAGACGCAGCAGCAGCAGCAGCTGTCAAGCTCGCACCGCAAGCTCATCACGCACAGCTGTGCGTTACGGATGACAGGGTAAGTTCTATCTATGGGACCTTTTCTTGCCAGTATCGAAATGATGAACTAAGTAGAATAGGATTCACACCCTCTGTGGCATGAAGATGTTCAAATACCGAATAGACAGCCAATCGTTTTGGACAAAACTCCGGGTACCTTTGACCCTATGTCTCGCTCAACAAGGCGACGCAAATGGCAACTGGCACGGTGCCGCATCGCGCATCACGCAGTGGAGTCGGGGGCGTGCGGAGGGGGGTGCGAACTCAGCGGATCCCCGTCTGTAACCCACCAGGTGACCACCAGGACCCATTCGCGAGTAGGGGCACCACCAGCACCGCAGTGTGGCTGGGCACCCGGATCCACACCTTGGCTCGGCTCAATTTTCTGGACTTCGAGTGACTGTGGCGTAGAGCTCCTGGCACGTCAGTTCCACACCCGGCCGGGTGGCTCAGCGGTGGAGCCAGCGGCTCGTAATCAGAAGTCTGCGAGTTTACATCCCGGTTGGACGGTTGACTCGTCGGCTCATCATCCCATTGGGGACGATAAAATTAGTACCACTGTGTGAGGAAATCAACAGTGCTTGGCCTATGGATAAAATTACCCCTATCATAGGAATGTATTACAGCCCTGGCTCAAGACCTGTAAACAGGAATATGTGAAACTGAAACAAAACAATTGTTAATTTGGCTCACTGAGCTGTCTAGCTCTCTTCAGAAGTGACCTTGCCACAAATGATAAGAAAACAAAGTGGCTTATCACGTGGACTTTTATAGCAACCGAATACTCTGTACTCGTGTTGTTTCTAAATGCGGAGTGAAAAGCCATAGGACCCAGAGAAAAATCCACGAGACCACAGAGAGAAAATGCAAACTCAAAATATACATGCCCCAGGGTCGGGATTGAACCCACGACTTCCTGCATACCGGGCAAGGTAGATAACATCTCGCCACTGCGGCACCCCTTGTCATTTTAACTTTTTTTGCACCATACGTAGTCAACCGTGCTAATAGGAGGTGCTGCCTCAATGCTCGATGGAGGAGGAAATCAACTTGACTGGCCAAGCCTCTTCCATCCGATTCCTTTAAACAGACTTTTGTTGTCTCTTTTCAGATCTATGTCTGTGGCGGTGCGAAGTCACACGCTCCGCGACTTGGAGCTCGTAGGCACAGTCGCACGAAAGGGCCTTGTATTCTCCACTCGTGCATCTAGTGTTCACCGCACCATCTGATGTTCACCGCACACCTTCAGTGGTTTGTAGTAAAATCCAGTAAAGCGCCGGCCCCATTGTTTCCGTGGAAGATGGAAGCCAAGCAGTCTTTGTGTTTGACTCTTACATTGCAGCTCACTCGACCTCAAAGCAAGTGCAGGCTGATGTGCCAAGGCCCCACGCTGGCATGAAGCTGGCGCCTCGGTCCATGGTGCTGAAATGCTGTGGCTGGAAGTTGGCTCACTCTTATCTCACGAATATCGGAACTAGGCCAGGGCTTTTCCTAGGTTGGCTCAGCCTTAAGTGAGTACCTGGTGCGGTGTGTCAGCAATGGGGAGACAAAGGCGGCCGACCGTGGTGCTGGCCACCCGCCCACTCATGTGTCATGTCGGTCTTCATTAGGTGCTACTCGCTAAGAGCACTTATCCTAACAGACTGTAGAAGCTATATGTGAGATCTTTGTCAATGTGGTCATTACGTCACGTGTGCTACGTGAATGGCAATCGTCACCCTGGGCAGCCCCTTGCAACAAAGATGTTCCATCTCGAGGGATTTTCCAGGTGAAATATTTTTTTACTTAAAAAATATAAATTGATCCTACCTAGATGAGACTGTCAGGGGGCCTTGATCGGACCCAAGGGCCCCGGCCCACACACAAAGGAGGGCCCCACCACACGGGCCCCTGTTGTTCTTGTTGCTAATTTATATTCGGGCATTCTGCCCTTGTGACATCCTGGCCTCCGGTGACCGCTGGACGCCCTTGTTATGTAGGGGTGTCTTGAACTTGGCGTGTGGACGCACTCACCGGCCAAAAGTGGCGTGGCCCTGGGATCCAGCAGCGCCGGGATCTTGGCCAGGATGTCCGGGCGCGCGGGGCCCTCGGGGGGCTCCGGGCCACGCGGCCGGCGGGACGGCAGCAGCGAGCGCCAGTCCACGAAGGCGCCGGGGCCGCTGGGGTCGAGCAGCACGTGGCGCGAGTGCGCGTTCTCCAGCAGCGCGTCCGTCAGCGCCACGTCCCCGCCTGCACCACGCATGCACGCAGGCAGGCACGACGTTCACGAAACGCACGCGGAGCGGCGGTGAGCCGGCCCCCGACACCTTCGCAATGAGGCAGCGAGTGCCGCGGTGCACACTGACGGCGCCCCAGGCCCCAGCAACACTCCGCATCCTGCAGCGTTTTCCAAATCTCCAACCTGGACAGACCCAACTCACATGAAGCCCTGGTGGTGGTGGTTGCAGCTCCCCCCTTCCCCCCGTCCCCCCTCCACCGCCTCCTCGACTTCCTTCTCCTCCACCTTCGCCACTCAACCTCCCCCCCTCCTCCTGCACCTCCCCCCCCCTTCCTCCATCCCTCTTCCCCCCTGCCCTTCCTCCTCCTCCCCCCCTCCTCGTGCTCACCCAGGTACTCGAGCCACATGCGCACCATGGTGCGTGCGTACAGGATGGGCACGTGAGCGTTGTCCCGGTACGACGGCGTCTGGAAGTCGAGCGCCTGCAGCACCGGGTAGATGAGCGCCTGCAGCTTGAGGCTCGCCGAGCCCTCCTTGGACTCCCGCGCCAGCTGCGGTTCACGCAGTCACACACACAGAGAGAGAGGGGGGGGGGGGGCTATAGAGGCAGGCACAGGGACACATTCAGTGGGCCTTACCTGGTAAAATAAAAATGTCCTTTAGTCCGTTTAACACGCAGTAGGCTTTCCCGACCAATATCGTCCATAATACAGGTTATTTTGGATTAGCTCGCGTAAATATATAAATGTGTCGTTAAACCCGCCACCACCCGACACAGCCAACTAGTAAGGGTTGTCACGTAAACAGAATGTGTCAATTCGTTACTAGTACAGCGCACTGGTGTGTTGGAGAGCAAAGCCACAACATTTGCAATCTGAGTACATGTCGTCAGTAATTACAACTCGCTTCATCAGGTGACAGCCAGGTTTGTGGAGAAACCCTCCTGTTCCGTTCCTTCGAAACAGAAATCCTCCTATTTCGTTCCTTCTTTAAGCTCATCAGGCAAAACCACAGAGCAACACTGCCCTCTGCTGTCAAACAATATATACACAACTGTAAACTAAACAGTTTTTATATTCTTTGGGTCTTTCGGTAAAGTCACGGAGATAAATTCAAAGAAAATAACAAAAAATTACAAAAAAACGACGACGTTTCGATCGCAACACAAGCGTTCGTCATTAGGAAGAAAAAAGAGGGCAAAAGCTGCTGAGGCAGACTGTTTTAAAGGTTTAAATTGGGTGTAGCCCAATGGTCATAAACGAAGTGGGCGGAGCTAGTAATGTTAATGTGATAAATTAGCATGTCAATGTCAGATCGAAGGGCGACCTCCACGACGAGAGCGTGGAGGTGGCGATGCTACTGTGAGAGATGAGCATGTTAATGTGAGAGATGAGCATGTTAATGTTTGAAGCTTTCGTGACTGCAAGGATTCATACTCTTAGTTCTTTCGGTAAAGTCACGTAGGTAAAAATTTAAATTAAAATTAATAAAAATAAAATAAAAATCACGACGTTTCGGATGCAATACAAGTCTCCGTCATCAGGTGGGACCGTCACAGCCAGATTTGCTGCATCACAACCAGATTTGATGCAGCAAATCTGGCTGTGACGGTCCCACCTGATGACAGGGACTTGTGTTGCCTCCGAAACGTCGTGATTTTTTTTTTCATTTTTTACCTACGTGACTTTACCGAAAAAACTAAGAGTATAAAGATGAGCATGTGAATTTGAGAGATGAGCATGTGAATGTGCGACGCGGGCTCGAGACTGTGCGAGAGCCCCGCGCCGCCAGAGAGAGAGAGACGGAGAGCGGCGCGAGGGCCGGCAGGCGCCCCACTTCCCGCCCTCCGGTGTTGCCCCCCGGCAGCGCCGCCAACCTGCAGAGCCACGGCCACCGCGAGGTTCCCGCCGGCGCTGTCCCCCGAGATGGCGACGCGTGCGGGGTCCACGGAGAAGGCCGCCAGCGTGTCGTGCCGCAGGAAGTGCCGCGTGGCGCTCAGGCAGTCCTCCAGCGGCACGGGGAAGCGGTGCTCCGGCACCAGGCGGTACCTGCGCGTGGAGGGCGCGGGCGGGCAAAATCCCGGAGCCAGACGTTTTGGCGTTGTCAGCAACCACCCCACCCCGCCACACCTGACCCCACCCGACCTCACCCCACAGGACCCCACTAGACCCCACCCCCCTACACCCCACCCGACCTCACCCCACAGGATCCCACTACACCCCACCCCCCTACACCCCACCCCCCTACACCAACACCCGACCCACCCCACCCAACTCCACCACACCCGACCCCACCTGACCCCACCCCACCCGGGGACCTGAACCCACCAGACCTGACCCCATATGATCCCACCTGACCCGACCCCTCCCCTGCCTCTAAACCAAATGAAAAATATCGTCACCAGCCGCTGCTGCTTGGGTTGTCTCCAACGTGGCTACACATTCGGATGGCGATACGCCCCGCGGATGAAGAGGAGCACCCGCAGCACAACAACAAACACCACCACCACCGCTAATATCATTAATGCCAGGTCGGCGTTTCCGCGACAAGAATGTCGCCATTGTGTTGGGGTGACTCAATACGTGGCCAGTCACAGTGGCGACTGGCCAAGTGAGGACGCGATGGCGACTCTGCCTCCACAGAGAGGACTGAACCTTTGGTCAAGTCTGGGGCATTCACCGAGGTTAAAGGGGCAGCCCCTGCAATTCCCTTCTCACGCCGCTGCTACCGAAAGGCCCTCCGTCAACTAGAGCCCCCCTCTAGAGGGTGTTTGGCCTACTCTTCCACACTGGTCAGGTGGTAATGCCCACACCCCACCACACACGACTAAATCTGGCGTACCAATTTCCACTGCTGGGTAGACAGAGGCGGAGGTGGGGGAGGTTGGAGAGGAATATAGGAAACTTGCCCTTTCACCACAGCGTCACCCATCTGGTGAACCCACTCCACCTGCATCAGCCACCCCCGTTCCCCTCCCTCCGTCTTCCAGGGGATCATCCAGGTAGGGGCCGGGCGAGGTGGGGGCCGGGGGAGGTGGGGGCCGGGGGAGGTGGGGGCCGGGGTAGGTGGTGGCCGGGCGAGGTGGGGGCTGGGCATGGGGCCAGAAGACGTGGGAGTCGGCTGTGGTGGCACCGGGCGAGGTGGCCGAGCGGCATGTGAGAGGGCTTAAGGGAGTACGTCACAATGTGGGGTCACGGCGCGCCAAAGCCACCACCACCGAAGCTGTTCGCAGGGCACACTCAGGTGTCGTGCCGGAGAGGATTAGGATTCAGAGTCGGTGGAATGCGCCAATGTCACCGTGACACTGAGAGGACAATTGGGCACACGGGAGACGTCGTGGGAGAGCCGGGAGGAAGAGAGGCCCAGCGCCCTGGGACCCTTTTGCTTTTTGTTTCGTGCCATTGCTGAGCACCGGCCCGGAAGTCCAACACATCAAGTGGCCAGCAACAAGCGGCGACGTCGCTGTTGTGATCGACGAGAGTAAGAATGCGCTGCTGGGATTGAGCGAGGTTATTCTTGGAAGAGCTTGCGGGCAAACAGAGGCTGGGAGGGGCTTTCTAAAGTGGAGCGGTGCACAGGAAAAAGCAGAAAGAGAAATGTTGGGACCTGCAGTGTGGTGAGTCAGTGGATGAGTGAGTGGGTGAGTGAGTCAGTGGATGAGTGAGTGGGTGAGTGAGTGGGTGGATGGGTAAGTCAGTGGACGAGTGAGTGGTTGCCAAATGCAAATTATCCAAGATTAGGCTGGTGTATTTTGGACGTCTTTCTTCATCATAATTAACGACAATAACTTCAGCTCGAAGCGCGCCACCGCCGCACAGACATTCGCTCACTGGCGATGAGAGAGAAGCGCGAGGAGGAACCGCAGCTAGGCGGTGAGCCGATGTAAAATCCACACTCCCCCAAGCTTTGTGGTCTTCTACATACGAAGGTGTGACATGTGTAACGATGGCAGAGCACAGCAAACAGGTGGATCCCACCCATGCTGGGCGTTCCGAGGGATTTATACAAATGAAGTTGAGGCTGGTTGTGGTTTCTTAACCATGGTTAGGAAACATACACGTGCTGCCGTGGGTGTCACGGCGTTACACCAACGGGCAACATCCCCGGGAGGAAGGGGAGGCGTGCCCCGATGGACGAGGGGGAGGCGGCGTGTGGGGTCGGTGGAGGAACTTACTCCACGGAGATGACGACCGCGTCGAGTCGGCGTGCCGCTTCACGGCACTGGTGGTCGTTGCCAACGTCCTCTGCAAAACAAAAAGGTCCCCCGTGTAGCCTTAACAGACTGTTGGGGCAAGTGCTGCTAGCGAGTAGCGCCTATGAAGGCCGGCACGGCACACGAGGGGGTGGCCGGCCAACACCACGCCTGGCCGCTTTTGTCTTCCCAGTAGCGATGTTTGCACACTACACCGGGTACTCAATTGCGGCTGAGTCGACCTGGGGGAGGCCCAGGATCGATTCAGATAATCGTCACTGATGTTGATAGTCATGAGTGGGAATTGAACTGGGGTCGCCGGGTTCATAGCGCAGCACGCTAACCGCTGCACCACCGCTCGCCGTCCTCTTCGTTCACACAAACACGGGCGCGAGAGTCAGCGGTGACCTCTGTGAAGTGGGAGCCCCCCTCCCCCATCATCATCATCATCCTCCTCCATTCCCCTGCAGTGAGAGACTCTGAAAAATGCGGGTTCACTCATTCATTCATTTTGTGCTCATTGTATCGATTTAGTCAGATCAATGATCGTCATGGGGCACCGCGGTGGCTAGGAGATGTAAACTCCCTCGCCTGGTATGCAGGAGGTCGTGGGTTGGATCCAGACCCTGAAAGCCTGCTGTACATTTGGGGTTTGCAGGTTCTCCCCGCTCAATGTTGTGATAGCTCAATGAAGTGGCTCATCACGTGGAAGTTTATAGCATTGCCCCTGCATTGGCATTGTTGCTGCATCGGCATTGCTGCTTCATTGGCATTGCTGTTACATTGGCATTGTTGCTGCATTGGCATTGCTGCTGCATTGGCATTGCTGTTACATTGGCATTGCTGCTGCATTGGCATTGCTGCTGCATTGGCATTGCCCCTGCATTGGCATTGTTGCTGCATTGGCATTGCTGCTGCGTTGGCATTGCTGCTGCATTGGCATTGCTGCTGCATTGGCATTGCTGCTGCATTGGCATTGCTGCTGCATTGGCATTGCTGCTGCATTGGCATTGCTGCTGCATTGGCTTTACTGCTGCATTGGCATTGCCCCTGCATTGGCATTGTTGCTGCATTGGCATTGCTGCTGCGTTGGTATTGCTGCTGCATTGGCATTGCTGCTGCATTGGCATTGCTGCTGCATTGGCATTGCTGCTGCATTGGCATTGCTGCTGCGTTGGCATTGCTGCTGCATTGGCATTGCTGCTGCATTGGCATTGCTGCTGCATTGGCATTGCTGCTGCGTTGGCATTGCTGCTGCATTGGCTTTACTGCTGCATTGGCATTGCTGCTGCATTGGCATTGCCCCTGCATTGGCATTGTTGCTGCATTGGCATTGCTGCTGCGTTGGCATTGCTGCTGCATTGGCATTGCTGCTGCGTTGGCATTGCTGCTGCATTGGCATTGCTGCTGCATTGGCATTGCTGCTGCATTGGCATTGCTGCTGCATTGGCATTGCCCCTGCATTGGCATTGCCGCTGCATTGGCATTGCTGCTGCATTGACATTGCTGCTGCATTGGCATTGCTGCTGCATTGGCATTGCCGCTGCATTGACATTGCCGCTGCATTGGCATTGCTGCTGCATTGGCATTGCTGCTGCATTGGCATTGCCCCTGCATTGGCATTGCCGCTGCATTGGCATTGCTGCTGCATTGGCATTGCCCCTGCATTGGCATTGCCGCTGCATTGGCATTGCTGCTGTATTGACATTGCCGCTGCATTGGCATTGCTGCTGCATTGGCATTGTTGCTGCATTGGCATTGCTGCTGCATTGGCATTGCCGCTGCATTGGCATTGCTGCTGTATTGACATTGTCGCTGCATTGGCATTGTTGCTGCATTGGCATTGCCGCTGCATTGGCATTGCTGCTGCATTGACATTGCTGCTGCATTGGCATTGCCGCTGCATTGGCATTACCGCTGCATTGGCATTGCTGCTGCATTGGCATTGCTGCTGCATTGGCATTGCCCCTGCATTGGCATTGCCGCTGCATTGGCATTGCTGCTGTATTGACATTGCCGCTGCATTGGCATTGCTGCTGCATTGGCATTGTTGCTGCATTGGCATTGCTGCTGTATTGACATTGTCGCTGCATTGGCATTGTTGCTGCATTGACATTGCTACTGTATTGGCATTGCTGCTGCATTGGCATTGCCCCTGCATTGGCATTGCCGCTGCATTGGCATTGCTGCTGTATTGACATTGCCGCTGCATTGGCATTGCTGCTGCATTGGCATTGTTGCTGCATTGGCATTGCTGCTGTATTGACATTGTCGCTGCATTGGCATTGTTGCTGCATTGACATTGTTACTGCATTGGCATTGCTGCTGCATTGGCATTGCTGCTGCATTGGCATTGCTGTTACATTGGCATTGCTGCTGCATTGGCATTGCTGCTGCATTGACATTGTTACTGCATTGGCATTGCTGCTGCATTGGCATTGCTGCTGCATTGGCATTGCTGCTACATTGGCATTGCTGCTGCATTGGCATTGCTACTGTATTGGCATTTCTGCTGCATTGGCATTGCTGCTGCATTGGCATTGCTGCTGCATTGGCATTGCTGCTGCATTGGCATTGCTGCTGTATTGGCATTGCTGCTGCATTGGCATTGCTACTGCATTGGCATTGCTGCTGCATTGGCATTGCTGCTGCATTGGCATTGCTGCTGCATTGGCATTGCTACTGTATTGGCATTGCTGCTGCATTGGCATTGCTGCTGCATTGGCATTGCTGCTGCATTGGCATTGCTGCTGCATTGGCATTGCTGCTGCATTGGCATTGCTGCTGCATTGGCATTGCTGCTGCATTGGCATTGCTGCTACATTGGCATTGCTGTTACATTGGCATTGCTGCTGCATTGGCATGGCTGCCCCGTCCATGCTGCTGATGCTGCTGACACACTTGGGTTACACACATCTCCAAAGCTTTATGAACAGTTTGCCGCCTTTAGATGATAACTCCTTTTCCTGATGACGACCGCTTGTGTTGCGATCGAAACGTCGTGATATTTTTATTCACTTTATCGTTGTTATTATTTTCTCTATCTACGTGACTTTACTGAAAGAACCAAAGAATAATACTACTTGTTCTTCACCTTTACTGCAGCCTTGCACCCGTTTGGTTCTCAATCCCGGAAAAGTACGTTAATACATACATATACTTGATGAAACAAAGTAGTTGTACTTATGTGCCCATGCTTAATTTGTGTTTCGATGATTTACCTTCCAAAAAAATCTGGACAAGGGCATCTCGCACCCAGAGGGGGTGCAGGGTGCACTCCAGGTTAAGAATCACTGAGCAAATAGGACCGGCCTAATCAATGGTGCCACGGTGGCAAGATGTTACCTACCTTGCCTGGTATGAAGGAGGTCATGGGTTCGATCCGGACCCTGACGCCTGCAGCTGTATATTTGGAGTTTGCGTGTCTCTCTTCCTGTGGTCACATGGATTTTTCTCCGGGTTCTCCGGTTTTTCCCTCCACATTTAGAATCACCATCACGCATTCAGAGTATTTGGCTGCTATAAATTTCCACGTTATGATAAGCCACTTCGTTGTGTTATAATTTTGCGGCCAAGTCGTTTCTGAAAAAGAGTGCTTTAGCCCCGTGGGCCTTACCTGGTAAAATAACAATAGTTTAGTTTTAATACCTTAAGCAATTAGCCAGTTAGCGTCCAGTACTAGCCCTTCCAATACCCAAACCATTAGTACCAGCCCCACCCATACCCTAAACAATGACCCAGTCGACTACTTACACCAGCCCCAACCCAATTGCCGTGGTCCTTCACCCAGCGCCACTCTCCGCTGTGTACGGCAGTCCCCGACTTACGAACGGGTTCCGTTCCTGAGACCCGTTCGTAACTTAAAACACGATAATGTGCCGTTATTTAAATGTACGTACGGTCAGTGTTATACAATGTGTCAAGGTTCATTTACGTTCAGCAAGTTGGATTGTTAAAAAAATGTATATCTTGTGATAGCTCTTTCGTAAGTGCGGATGTCCACAAGTCGGGCGTTTGTAAGTCGGGGACTGTCTGTATTAACTTGAAACTAAAACTCTTTTTGATTTTACCAGATAAGACCCACTGAGCCATGTAGCTCTTCTTCAGAAGCCACAAGTGATAGGTAAACCAAGCGGCTTATCATCACGTGGAATTTTATCGCAGCCAAATACTCTAAGTGCACGCCGATTCTAAACGTGCAGGCAAAAACCGAAGGACCTGGAGAAAAATCAACGCAACCACGGCGAGAGAGAGAGACACGCAAACTCAAAATATACAGCAGGCATCGTCAGGATCGGGATCGATCCCACGACCTCCTGCACACTAGGCGAGGAAGTCAACATCTCGCAGGCTGTGCGGGGCAGTGCTACTGACGCGTGGTTCCGTACGCCCATCCTCCGCCGTGCAGGTAGATGACGCCGCGCTTGAGCCCCGCGGCGTGCGAGGACGCGAACGCGCGCACGCGCACCCCGCCCATCTCGGTGTCGCGCACCGTCACCCACGCGTCGGAGCGAGCGGGCACGCGGGGCACCACGTTGCGCAGGACCACCTCCGGGTCGACCAGTCGCAGAAGCTTGCCCAGAGCGGCCTGGCACACGGTGGGGAGCAGGGCGGGGGGGACACACACGAGGGGCGTGAGCTGCGTCGAGACATGTCTGTGGGGACACGGAGGCAGGGGCCACGCTGGGACTTGGGAATCACCGGCCCACACTCCCAGAGATAAAGGAGATGTGTGGGGATGATGACCAATGAAACGTAGATGCATCAAACGCAACTATATGTAAACTTTTAATTTACGAGGTAAGGTCCACTGAGCAACGTAGCTCTTTTTCAGAAGTGACCTGGTGACTACTGATAGCTCAACGAAGTGGCTTATCATCATGTGGAAATGTATTGCAGCCAAATACTCTAAACGCAAGTTTCTAAATGTGGAGGAACAAACCAGAGAATCCGGAGAAAAACCCACGCGACCACGGGGAGAGAGACACGCAAACCCCAAATACAGAGCAGCAGGCGTCAGGGTCGGGATCGAACCCCCCACCTGCTGCATACCAGGCGAGGTAGTAAATATCTCCTGACCAACGTGGGCATGAGGCAAAGAGATTCAGTCGATTGGCCGTTCTACCCTGGTCAGTGCGGAGATATCTGTGAAAAAGAGCTTCATAGCTCCTCGGGTTCCTCTAGTTTAAATAAGGATTCTGATTCTGGGTTAATGGGGGATGGGGAGCACAGCTCCGGACTGATGCCACTCCCACCCACCAGCAATGCTGTCCCTGGCTACTTGTATTGAACTTCGGTGGCTGGGTTCATAGTGCAGTGCGCTAACCGCTGCGCCACCGCTCCGCCGGATTCATAGTGCAGTGCGCTAACCGCTGCGCCACCACTCCGCCGGGTTCATAGTGCAGTGCGCTAACCACTGCGCCACCACTCTGCCGGGTTCATAGTGCAGTGCGCTAACCGCTGCGCCACCGCTCCGCCGGATTCATAGTGCAGTGCGCTAACCGCTGCGCCACCACTCCGCCGGGTTCATAGTGCAGTGCGCTAACCACTGCGCCACCACTCTGCCGGGTTCATAGTGCAGTGCGCTAACCGCTGCGCCACCACTCCACGGAGTTCATAGTGCAGTGCGCTAACCACTGCGCCACCACTCCACGGGGTTCATAGTGCAGTGCGCTAACCGCTGCGCAACCGCTCCGCCGGGTTTATAGTGCAGTGCGCTAACCGCTGCGCCACCACTCCGCCGGGTTTATAGTGCAGTGCGCTGCAGGATTACACCACCCTCTGACGATAACCCCCTTAATTCACCTCCAGCCAGCGCTTCGTCAAAGCCAGTTTCTGTTTAACTTCCGTTTTGGGGCCCCAGTATCGGTATCCACGAACAAATGAACACTGCCCCATGGCGCTCAGCACGGGTGAATGTTGAAGCAGTGACCGCGACAGAGCTGGCATTGAAAGGTCGCTGCTGTCACGGGCACGACCCCACGTGCACCCACGCTCACCCCGCGGGGCTGACACCCTAACCCTGACACCCTAACCCTGACACACTAACCCTGGCACACTAACCCTGACACACTAACCCTGACACCCTGACCCTGACACCCTGACCTATGTGAATTCAACACTCACCTGCAATGCTCATCTACTACACTCACCAACAACACTCACCTACAATCCACACTCACATACAACAGTCACCCACAGCCCTCAATTAATCCCTACACTCACCTACAACACTGACTCATCCGCAACACTCACCTGCAATACTCACCGACAGCACTCGCCTATAACACTCATCCACTCACCTACAACCCACAATCACCCGACAACAAACATGCTTTGCCTTCTATACGACTGTAGCAGCCCCTAGAGTCTGTGTTAATCCGGCCCTAGCTGTAAGCTTTACAGAGAGAGTGATAATCCGAATTGCCACCCAAGCGAGTGGACTCGGGGCTGGACAGGCAGCTCCCAAGCGCGTGTGCCAGTCAAAGGTCAAACATAGAGGCGAGTCACCTGTGACGCATACTCAACTATCAGCCACACTCACTTGTAACACTCACCTACCAACCAAACTCACCTACATGACTCACCTGAAATCCACACTCACCTAGAGCACTCACCTACAACTCACACTCTGCTACAACAGTGGGCGTCATATGTATACAAGCGCCCTCCACCATAGGAATGTGGAATTTCCATCACTCCCTGTAAACGGAAGATGAGCACCAAATTCCTGAACCAGGAAATCGCTTCGACTTTGAAGACGTTCACGCGCGCACACGAAGCTATACTGTCACTCAGGTCTCGGCACCTTGGTCTCAGGACCCTGGTGTCAGCACCCTGGGTTTCATCACCCTGGGTCTCAGGATCTAGGTCTCAGCGCCCAGGTCTCAGCGCCCAGGTCTCAGCACCCAGGTCTCAGCGCTCTGGGTCTCAGCGCCCTGGGTCTCCGCTTCCTCACCACGTGATTGGCGGTGCGCAAGACGGCGTCCAGCATCATCAGCTTGTACGGCTCGGCCACGGACTCGGGGAGGGGCCGGTACAGGTAGTAGCTTGCGCCCAGCAGCAAGAGCGCGGAGAGCAGCGAGCACACGCGGACGGCTCCCATCCTGCAGGCGGGACCCCCGCTCCTCCCCACAGCCCCGGCGCGACCACAGACGACGCAGCTGCTGCTGCTGATGATGATGGATCGAGTCAGGTGGCGGTCGGGTGAGAGAGGCGCAGAGATGGGAGAGTGCAACGCAGAGGGGAGTGGAGCAGAGGGGGGAGTGGAGTAGAGATGAGAGCGGAGTAGAGATAGGAGTTAGGAGTGGTGGGAAACAGAGGAAGAGGGGAGTAGAGAGTAAGAGGAGGGGAGTTCAAAAGGAGAAGAGTGGACAAGATGGGAGCAGAGGAGAGCGGAGCCGGGGAGAGGACGAGATTGGGGGAGAGGGAATCCAATGCTCCGCGCACCCGGCGAAATGCGAACGAGTGAAGATGAGCCCGGCGAGACCGGGAGTGTAAGAGAGAGAGAGAGAGCGCGCAGTGAGAGAGGGGGGAGATTGTGGGAGTGGGTGGCGGGGAGGGAGGGACTAGGAGAGGGAAGGAGAGGGGCTGGAGAGGGCGCAGGAGGAACCAGGAGACGCCTCCTTCTGCTCTGTACCATGCGCTCTCTGGGCTGTGCCGAGTGGCTGGTTGGTTCGGGTCAGGGACAGTTGGAGGGCTGTTAGTACCAACTCGCGTGTCAGGGTTAGCGGGTTAGGGTGTCAGGGTCGTGTGGCAGGGTTAGTGGGTAAGGGTTAGGGTGTCAGGTGAGTATATTGGTATCAGTGATCAATGTCAGGGTTAGGGTGTCAGGTTTAGTCTATAATGGATCAATGTCAGGGTTATGTAATTTACTGACAATCGTCCAAGTCCGGCAGTGCTGCCGGTTACAGTTTAAGATCGATGGTGATCGTGATGATCATGATCATCACGATCACCATCACTGTCCTCATGAAGCTGAACCCTCAGCGCTCATGTGCACAGCGAACCCAACGCGAGAGGCTGCCCCACCACCGGCCTCGCGGCTTCACAGATTTCTTGGAAGAAGAAAGAAACCGCCCTCTATGGCGGACGCATGCATTGTTTACTAGAACACTCTGGCGACCACCACCCCCATCCATCCATCCTAAGCCGTGGTGGGCCCTCTATAAAACCGCCTGCGCGTTGGACATTGTCCCAGATGCAGAGATGGGGGGGGGGGGGCGTCGGGGATTAGGCCCGTAGGAGTTGGACTGACGGCTGACTTGGCCAGTGCTCCCAATTCAGACTCAGAATCTTTGTGTATACTGGAGGAATCCGATGAGCTATGAAGCTCTTTTTCACCGATGTTCAGGAGACAAGACACACTTAGACATAGACCCCCGTATAGCCTTTTGCAGACCGTTGGGGCAAATGCTGTTAGCGAGCATATATGAAGAAGCCGGCACAGCGCACCGGGGGGTGGGTGGCCAGCACCACGCCCGGCCGCCTTTGTCTCCCCAGTGGCGACGTTTACACACAGCACCAGGCACTCACTTGCGGCTGAGTCAACCTCGGGGTGGCCCAGAACCGGTTCAGATAATCGTCACCGGTGTTGGCCGTGAGCGTGAATTGAACTCGGCCGGCCGGGTTCGTAGCGACCGCTCCACGACCGCTCCCACAGACACGGACAGACGCGTGGACAACAGATACACGCGCGTTGCATAACATCATCACCCACAAGCGTTGTGTAACATCCACACAACACGCGCGCTGTGTAACACTGACACAACGCACAGGCGATGATGCGTCCAACACGAAACTTATTGCAACAGACAACCCACAAGCATTGACAACAGCTAAATACAAAGATCCCCCATATATCCGTGAGGAAAGTGTTGGTGACTAGCACCGATTAAGACGCCGGCACGGGAACACGAGGGGGTGGGTGGCCAACACAACGCCCGGCCGCCTTTGTCTCCCCAGTGCCGATGTTTAATACAAACCACACCAGACTCTCATTTAAGGCCGAGTCGACCTAGGGAAGGCCCAGGACCCGTTAAAAAACATTCGTCACTTTTTATTGGTCGTGAATCAAACCACTGCACTTCTGTAGTCTGTATGCAAACTGATGCGTTTCTGTGTAAGCATATGGATAGCCACGTACGTCCGTTGGTATCTATGTTATCTCTGATTAACACGGTTGGCTACGTACGGTGCGCAAGAAGTCCGACACACATACACGTTACCAGGGTGAGTGGCGTCCACAACTCACGACTAACTCCTCACCCCGGCCCGAGCTGCCTGCGAGGGTGAGGGGTGAGGTGAATCAACAAGCGGTGTTTGTTCTGGGATGCACCACCCGTCGTGACGTCTGGTGACCCCCAGGTCTCCTCGGCAGGGGACGTGTGATACCCACTGCGGATTCATCATCAGCAGCAATGCCCCCCCCCCCTTCCCATTGTGTCTCTTTGTTCTGTATTTGTTTATTGGTCTCGTGCGAGGGGCGCCGCGCTGGACAGATGTTAACGACCTTGCCAGCTATGCAACCACAGGCTCGTGGGTTCGAGCCTGTGGTCGTGGGGATTTTTCTCCGGGTTTTCCTTCCACATGTAAAGAATATGCGTTTAGAGTATTGGGATGCTGTAAATATCCACGTGATAAGCCACTTGGTTGAGCTGTCAGCTGTGGCCAAGTCGCTTCTGACAAAGAGCTACGTAGCTCAGCGGTCCTTGCACCTGGTAGAATAAAACAAAGTTTATTTTTAGCTTCCATGCGTTTAAGATTATAGAGTCACAGTGATGAGATGACTAAGAGCTCTCTGGGAGTAACAGCAAAGCACACGAACGAGACGCGCAGAGTAAACTCGTGAAGTAAATGTTCAACTTTCCTGGAACGTGGTCTCGTGATTATTATCGTAGAATCCACCAAGCTGCCTCATCCGCCAAAACGCATCCGACGCCCCCCCCCCCCCACGGTTCTCAACCGGGGGACCGCGGACCTCTGGGAGCATCCACGTGGCAATGTCCCAGGGGGCACGTGAGGTGATTGATAAATGTATGGAATTATATCACACGTGAGAGTCATTGGGAAATACTCATGTTTGATTAATCTGCCAAAGTAAAATAACTACGATGACATTTGAGCCCATAACTACTACGATATAAAATACCTGTATAAACTCATTGATCGTAAACAATGCGCGTGACAGTTACTGGCGAATTAGGATATATTCTTTGGTTCTTTCGGTAAAGTCACGTATAAAGAAAAAATAATAAATTAAATAATAGCATACAATTTTTTCTTTATACGTGACTTTACCGAAAGAACCAAAGAATAATTCCTGCAGTCACGAAAGCTCCAAAGTTAAGATTGAATTAGGATATCTCATAACATGGACAATTATTTAAAATATCGATGTTCATTCTTCGTACATGCATTTCTCAGAACCACGTTGGGTCAGGCAAGGGGGTTACTACTGGGTTAAAACAAAATTCATCTGGTCCAACACCATGTGAGACTCGGCTCTAAGAAAAGCTGTCTCAGGTGTGGACCAATCGATTTCAAGGACAGTGCATACATGATCAGAGTTGTGTTTTTTGTTTGCATTCCTACGCAGGTATTGTGGTCAATGCAAACATGACTCCTTGTAAAAATGGTGTCAGTTTTGTTGCCAGATAAAAGGGTAAAAAAACAATTATCATATTTTGCTACTGGCAAAGGAGGTTCCAATGGGGTCAACTAAGGTTGTAGCACAGTCGCCAAACCAAAAGGTTGAGAACCACTCCTCTCCCACGTCAACAACAGCCCAACGCGCACTCGTCCCAGCACTCACCAGGACGCGCCCATTCGTGGTGGCTCACTGGCCCCACGTCTCTGCTGGGGCTTCCCGGCCTCTGGTCGCAGAACTATTCCCCAGGTCCCTCCAGTTGCCTCTCTCGCCGTCACCAGGTGGTGGTGGTGGTGCCACCTGCCCACGCCAGCCCGGCCGAGGCTGCGCGCTCCTCCTCGTGGGGCGCTGCGGGAACTCCGCTGCTGCGCTGCGCACGGACGAAGCTGGCGGCGTCGTTGTCGGTGCGGGGACTCGCTCGCAGTGGCCCCCTTCTCCCTCCTGACTCCAGGCCCTCCTCGTCCCTCTTTGTCTTCCCAATGCAACGATGCCTCATTACTTTTCAGCCACCAAACTTTCTGTCGCCCCCCCCCCCCCCCAGCTACGACCAGGTCTATCCCAACCCTTCCTTACCAATCCCTGTTTTACAGCATCACAACTACACCACCACTTACAATAACCCAATTCTTTATTTCGAATTATCGTCATACTATATACGATATTATAATTGCTGTAAAGCGTCTTCGTAAAGGCGCTATATATACATCTCATTAAGATAAGATTACATATTCCTACGGCGGGAACGATAATCTCAAAAGGCCCACCACAAGGACAACTTCCCACAAGATGTTCACGGGAAGCTGTATGGTCAACCCACTGGCGGATCACAGGGGTTAACTTGACCATACTTTCCCATTCTGGGCAGTGAAGGGTGGTGATAGCGGGTTTCCGCACCTCGGATTAGCACGGTTGGCTACATACGGTGCACAGGAAGTTCACGGAGAGTGACATTTTTTTACGTCATTCAAATAATTTGTTTAATCTCGTGACCACACTTGTTGACAAGCACGAAATTGGTCTTAAGAAGATGAAACCTCATAACAACACGTGGCACTTGTTTTGTATCTTTCGAGGTGACTGGCAATGTACATCGGAGAAAATGCAGGCTCGATCTCGCCTTAACAACAACCGAACAACTTTTTCAATGGTCAGATAAAATACAAGTATTTGCTCGGATAATCAATCTAATCATTTTTAATAACACAATAATCGTTTATAATAAAATGTATTATAGTACATTTCTCATTTGATGTTTTTATTATACACCACATTGTGTTTTAGTATAATGTATACACAGTATAGATGGATAGTTGGGTTGGGCTGGTTTTAAGTTGAGCTGCTCTTCCCAGCACGCGGGCCTCCACCGTTCAATTTAGAATTCGTCTGCCAAGCAATCATCGCCCACTGCCAGCAGAGGGCGATGATCTTAGTATCGCCACAACGCGGCACACGTCAAGTAGAAACTCAACACATGTATCAATGGACAATGACTTTCCATCAAAAACTCACATTCTTCACCGCACATGTAGCAATGAAGAATGTTAGTTGTTAATGTATGTCATTTCTACTGACGATAGCAGATCTCGACATTGAGTTGCTGGCCATATTGATGCCATGATGCGCAAGAACAAAACGACACCCATAGAGGAGTCACCTGCCCAGCTGCCCTAAAGTCGCCGTCTTTAAAGTGGCCGTGAGCGCCTCCTCCCAGCGGGTGGCGGCGTGGCCGAGTGGTTACTTCTGAATGTAACTTTGTAGACATGGATCCGGGTTCGCGCCCGCGTTGCACCACTGGCGCTATCTGCCACCTTTTTATCCCACATTGAGACAGCGTGAGAGGCGTGAGAGGCGAGGCGAGAGAGGCGAGGCCGTGAGAGGGGCGAGAGAATCCCTCCCGGAGCCCGGGACGCG